AATAACGGAAACAAAAACTGGAATTCTCAATTCTTGACTTTAAAAAAATAAATAAAAAAATTCACTTTTTGAAACATTTTTCAACAAACATTTTTTTTTTTTAAATATAGCAATAGTTAAAAAAGAAAAGTTCTACAAAGTATATATTTTTGAGCAATCATTAACCATTCATGTGATGTTAAATACTCTATCTCCTGATCATTGTTGTTATCCCTTTTTCGTGTTTTATTTACAGCACTTAATTAAAGACTTTTTCACATAGATGTGCTCCCTTATTTCTTCTCTGTGTAAAACTACAGAATGTACTGATGTTTTTTGTATTTCCTATGCATTTAAATCTTTTATAATATGTCTGAATACTTTTAATAATGATACGTCTGAACAATCACCTCACTGTGTGTTGATTTTTTTTCTTGAAATGTTACCTTAATGCAAATAATTGATGAGGTGCCTGTTCAGTTTTCAATCCTATCCGATTTAACTCCTTGACGCCCTTGATAAAGCCTTTGTAAATGATACGTTGTTTGGTGACCTTGATTTTTGACTGTTCGATTAACATATTATCTTGGGAATCATCATCAAAGGTTAACACAGAAACCTTCAAGATCCCAGTTTTTAACAATGGTTCTACAAATCCTATTAATGCTGACTGGGCAGATTCTATTACATCAGTATTATTTTGTGTAGGACCATAATGCTACTTCTATGTGTTGAAGAAAGGACACAGTATGCCTAGTAATCTCCCTTTGTTACTACAAAGACAAAAGTTGCCTAGCGCTGTCTATTTGATACTGATGTTTTAAAGAACATGTTGTCTATATGTTATTCTACAGAGATTTTAAGGTGTCTGGTGATGTCCCTTTGTTATTACACAGACAAAAGTTGCCTTGTGATGTCCATTTGTTGCCACAGAGACAAAAGTTTCCTATAGTGATGTCTATTTGTTATTTTACAGAGACAAATTTGCTTAGTGCTTTCCTTTTGTTACCACAGTGACAAAAGTGTCCTGGTGATGTCCCTTTGTTACCACAGAGACAAAAGTTGCCTGATGATGTCCCTTTATTACCACAGAGACAAAAGTTGCCTGGTGATGTCCCTTTGTTACCACAGAGACAAACGTTGCCTGGTGATGTCACTTTGTTACCACTGAGACAAACGTTGCCTGATGTTGTCTATGTTACTAAACAGAGACAAAAGGTGTGGTCGGGTGGTGCAGTGGATTGCACACTTGCCTTTCACCAAGGCGACAACGTGGGTTTTCTCCGGGTACTCCAGTTTCCTCCCACACTAAGACCCCCCACGCCCTAACATCCGGGCCAACAAGAGTGATTAATATAACTTGAAATTACTTGTTTCATAATTGTTGTTAAATAAATAAAGTTTATATCATTATAGAGACAAAAGTTGACTGGCGCTATTTAGTACTATAAAGAGACAAACTTTGCCTGGTGGGCTCCTTTTGTTACCAAAATGACAAGGCGAGTTACTCAGTGGTGTCTGTTTGTCACTGGTGCCTTGCTTCCTTTATTTCTAATCCATTTTCCCCAGTGCTCTTTCCTTCTTACATGTCAATAAGGTTGTCTGCAGCTGTACCAGTGGTACTGATCACTAAGGAAACAGGTTTTCAGGATAAAGTGTTACTCGCTGTTGCCCATTTGTTACTAGGAATGTAGGGAACATACAGATACTTTCAAGCATCGTGTAAAAGTTTCACTTGTTGTGAAGAGATCTGTACATAGGGTCACATTGGGAATGTTTTCTCTTTGTTACTGACCAAAGTATCAGAGTCCGTTAATCTGAATCCAACCATTCTTGAATATCACACAAGGGTCCGGTTAAACAATTACCTCTTTCATGTGAATTTTAATGGTGATTAGGTTCGTTGAAGTAGACAGAAAACAAAACACGGAAGACGCCTGATGATGCTGGCATGTTTTTTCGAGGATCAATCATCTTGCTGTACTAAACTTACCCATCTTCTGTCCACTAACAAAACCTTATGCACATAATTATCAGGCCGCACAGCCAAAAACTGGTACACACCTGCAACTTACATCAGTTTATATCTCACTTCTTTATACGAAAGGAGGAAAGCTCTTTACTCATCTGTAACTAATAGGGGATAAAAAAAAAAAAAATCTTCAGAATGTTTTGAGGCAACTGTAACCATGCTCACAGCCATAGATAGGGAACTTGTTAAATAGAATTAACAATTTGGACAGGACTTTCAATTCTCATTATTAGACCTTATGATGTAAGAATGCGATATTGATGAGCATTGTTAAGTGCTTGTGCACAGGACAGACTTATTTTTACCTTCATGTATCCTGCTACAGTAAAGGTTGTTTCAAATTGGTCAAATTATTGTAAAAATTATTTCATTCAAAAATGATAAATCTTTTAATATATATGTTACATATGAACAAATGAATTTAACTTCAACTCCTCGTTAGCTGTTGATAGGACCTTAAACAATACTAAAGCAAACCAATTGATTAGTTGCCTTCCTAAAACTTTCTGTTATCAGTTGGTGGTCCTTTAGATTCCTGTAAATAGGATGGCTTTGGTTTCTGTTATTGGTATAATTGAGTCACTTACAAGACCCTTTACTGCCCGTAGAGAACCCACACCATCCATTATATAGGTAAAACAGTATGACAAATGGGGACTTTTAACTTCCCTCCGCCTGGTAGATTGGCCTTTTGGTGCTGGTTTTACACACATTAACAGATTCAGTGACCAGACGGCTTCAAGCCATCCAATCCATGATTGGGAGAACAGAAATTAGCGGCAGCTATCAGAATGGCTGGTTTGGGAGTAGTGATCTATATTGATTCCCAACAGTATCTCATCACTTTCACACCTACGGCAATCATAGGCCCACACAGAACAGCTCTGACAGCACGGTCGAGGGGGGGAAAGCTAGCATCGTGTTCAAAGAATAGTTACCGTGTAGATTGTCATTGGCAAGGGAATTGGTATTATAAGAGTGTTTAACAATTTGGGAGAACTTTTAAACACACATCACAGGGATTGGACTCTGGCATTCTGATCCCCCTAGTCACATATACTTCACAATCAGATGACGATAATTTCACCAACATTTTTGAAGTACGTCTTTTCTTTGACGTAAACTTGGTCGGGTTTCATTTTATGTGTCGTCTGCCTTGAGATATCTGCCTTGAGATATGCCAGACACACTGTGTTGTGAAGACAAGACCTTGTCGACACATCCTATGAGGCACATTTGTAAACTTTTTATGTTCTGTGTCGGCCATCAATTTATTGACTAATTTGCATGCCTTATTAAATTACAAAAAATAATTTCATTGGTTGTGAAAGAATGACTTTAGTTGGCGTAGTTATCAGCAAGTCAAGGTGACCAACTGCCTCTGACTCAGTGACATTCAAGTCCATGTTTTCGACTCGTTCCTTGTTAGGATTATAGGAGTCTTTAGACCGTCTGGTCACAGTGACCTATATAGATAGGGTCCAATAAAATGTCCGGTATCATAGACTAAAAGGTGATTCCTCTCTTTGTAACTGTAAGCACACTTGGCCCACGTTAAAACTCTAGGGTGGGCTTATAACCTTTTGGTATCACAGAGACCATGAGATCATGCATCTGCTGCATGGCCGAATGTTACAGAGTACTACTCTAAACTGCTCTAGTAACAAGACAGACTCCTTAAGTGGTAAAATGGGATGGCGGAATATCAAATAAGACTGACGGTCTCATAGGGCCCCGATTTATTTCTGGACACAATGCATGGCCATCACACATTCTCCGGATTGATGCAGACATGCGAACCAATACTGCAGTTAGGTGATACAGGCTTTTCACAGTAACAACCCCCTGGGTGTTCACACATATGCAAGGAGCCGGTGCCAAACCTTGGCCCAGTATGCTTACTCAATGCTAAATATTGGATGCAGTTTACATGTGTAGGTGGATGATCACACATTACTTCATCAATGCAGTACCTGTAATTTGTACCCAGAGGGAATGAATTTTTATCTGAGTACGTGTAGGTTACCTATGGCTGTTCTATTTTTGAGTGATTTAATATCTAACCTGTGTTCTGGTGCCAGTACAGGGCACAGTACCAGTCTGCATGCTAAGCTGTTTTATTTGGTTCAGTTATCTACCAAGGTAGGTTAACCAAAAGTTTGTGAATAAAATCATTTCTTTCTGCCAAAATAACTTGTTTTTGAGTAATTACTAAGCTAAATTTTAGAACCTTTGATTGACCTTTTTGCTGATGGGTAATGATGTCTATGAACTATTCTGTATTTCATTGAAATCTGTTTGTTGGCATGACATACCGTTTCCTTCTCTAAGTTTTATCTAATATTGACTGTTTTGATGTTCATGATTCAACCTAATGTTATCTACCTTGAATTGTGCTGCATTACTGCATAAGGTTCCAATAATGTCTGCTGGCTAAAGCTCTTCTTTTTAACTCAACTCTTTTTCTACAGAATTATATATGTATGTCTCTTTCCTTTGACCTATCATTGCTGTTCTAGAAGTAAGGACCTTTTGACCTGCACAGTATACCGTGTAGTAACTGTCCACTCAATATTTGATAGACATTGTTGGTTATAGAACCACAAGGAAGTAAATCTAGAATAATTGAATTGTTCCGTGAAAACTTGAGATTGTATTAATTCAAAGGACGGTGTAGAATTTGTACTTTTCCTGCAGTGCCACATTCTCTATGACACCTAACCGACTGCTGCCTGTCTATATACTCTCCCCAGACAGGTGCATTAAGTACCCGAGCAGAAAAGTACATGCTTACTATGGGAAGTCTCAAGTAGGGGGTTGAACGGAACAGCTCATCAGTCCAGACATACAGTTGTAGGTAGAGGGGGTTAATTAGAACAGCAATGATCAATCAAATGTACAGGATGTCTGCAATCCAAACTCATCATTCGTTGAACACAGAAAACAATTGTTAGAACATAGACTAAGAAAAGTTGTTGTTTTTGCTCAGTCCTGAAGAGAGGCATGTCAACGGTGAAGTTTGTATGACACCGGAATCCGACTCCGTCAACACCTCTACCAATATATCTGTCCATTTTGACAATGAAAGGTAAAAAATGCCGCCATTGATTATAGGCAGTATATTACCCTGACAGAGTCCACGTTGCCTGCTATAGACACTGACTGGGGCTTACACAACCAAGTTCATCATGGTGAAGGGAGACGAGGGGCATTGTGGGAGTAAGGGTGTATGGGCTACAGCCTCGGGGATATCAGGAAGAAGAACATAAATTAATGATGTTATAATTAAAACAGGGATTGGAGAAACATTTTAGGCTAGATGAAAGTAAAAACAAATTGATAGCTTGGTGACAACGGGGGTTCAGGTAAGATAATGAGAGAAAGGGCAGAAACCTTTTAGGCTCAGATAAAACAAGAGGCTTAGGAAAGGCTTGAAGGCAGACACAAGAAGTTTTAAAAAAACAAATGAGGCTAAGGGAAGGCATGAAAGACAGGGATATACTTAGGCTTAAGGAAGGCATAAAACTGACAGGAAGGCATGCTTGCTTTCAAAAGCCATCGAGGGTAGGAAATTCAAGTATGTGGTTTCAGAAAGGTATGGAGGGTGTTAATGTATGAGGCTTAGGGAAAGCTGGATGTTGATCTTGAGGATATTATGGAACAGAAACACATGGCATAACAACTGAAAACATGTGTTGATAATCAAGTGTTGAATCAAAATGTGTTAAGACCACACAAACCTGAGGTCAGATGAACCTTGATCTAAATTAGCACCTTTGTGGGTGGCTGGGCACCTCTGTCTGTCCTCATATATATCATAAGGGGGGATGGAGCCAGCCATGTCAGATCATAAATAGGGATGGAGATGTATTTTCAATAATAACAGTAGCACAGTAATAATAGGGAATATGTGCCAATATTTCTATGTAACTTTTAATATTACTGGAGAAGGCTGTGTACAAAACTAATTGAAAGTCGAGGAGAATGGAGATGGCACGCTTTTGTGTAAGATTTACGGGCTTTTGGTTTTGAAGGCTACATTGATTTAATGTCTAATTCTAATTTAGAGATTTACAGATCAAAAATTGTAGAATTAGAAGACCATCTATTAGTGGTTGATTGAAACTGAACAGGTGGGAAAATTGGGGCTTAAGCTGAAGAATGCTCTTTTTTCTTAGTAGTGTAGAGTGCTGGCTTGTAAGGGAAGAAGAGGGATGGGGGAAAAACACTTGGTTGATGTAGGCCCATACAGTGATTAGTCTCCTTGCCACTGCACATGTTATCTCCCCTGACTTTGACATATAGCTATACATATATATATATAGTGCATGTACAATTCGCTTACTGCCTGTACCTGCATGAGAATGCCTTTAAACAAAAGTCTTTCTATTTGTACTCAATATAGCATGACTGCATCGCTGGTATACACACTACTGATGCATGCTTCAGCAACTCACCACAGTAATTAATAAATAAATTTAGTTATATTTATTGCAGATTTTTTAAGAAATAGTCTTTGCCTGTTTGCATAAGCTTAATTGAATGAATTTATAATATATTTGTTTGCTTCAGCAGTAACTATTTACCACAGGAAGTCCTCATAAGCATTTTGAATTCCTTAAATTCATAATAATCAGAAACTTTCTCAACCAGAAGATAAGATCAGTCACATCTTATATCTTCCTCCAAACTTCAGCTGAACCACCCCTACTTTAATACTTGTAAACCTTTCAAATTTCAAAAGTGGCAAAATATTTCAAAGATTTTTTTAAAAGATGTACTTTAAAATGATCAATGTTTGACAGAGTTAGAAGTGTAAACTGCCATAATTGAAGCTGTTCTCTGAAATGGATTTATTAAATTGGAACAAACAGCAATATGTTGAGAATAGTGACTGATGATGTAAAAAGTTACGATTGAGGGTGAAATATTGGATGGCATGGTCACCAAAATAAGGAGGTTTGGCAAGTATATATATATATATATTGACATTTTTAGCGCTTCTGCTTCAATTAAGCTTTGTAGCTTATGCATGAACAGCACAGCTTCAGAATCCAAGCAGCAGTCTCTATGTGGGTGTAGTGAATGAAAATGGATGACCTGCTGTCTCCATAAATCTTTAGGTCACTGTTGTCTTCTGCACAAACATCTTTAATGTATCAGATCTGTTGTACACAAACTTCCATTGAGTCTGCCTTGCAGTGCACAAACATTTTTGTGATTCTGAATTGGTGTACACAAACCTTTCATTGATTCTGACTTCAGTACACAAATATTTTCTTGATTCTGAATTGGTATACACAAACCTTTCACAGATTCTGACTTTTTGTTCACAAAACTTTTGCTGATTCTAAATTGGTGTACATGAACTTTTCACCGATTCTGTCTTTCTACGCTAACACATTAAGATGATTTTTTTTTTTTTTTTACACAAACCTTTTGGTGATTGTGACATAGAGATATGTATACAAATCTATAATGATTCGACTTTGACCCACCAATTACCCAAGGGATTCTGATGACTGCGAACAATAACCATTTATAATGGAAAACCTGAAAGAATATTATAGTGGTCCTTCCCCATTTTGTATTGTAAGACTTGAATTTAATTCTGCTGTTTAATTCATCAATATTGCCTGTAATCTTACATTTCTCTTTGCCTTTACAACATCTAACTGACATTTGACCTTGACCTTACGATCACCATGCAATGACCTTCACCTATTAACCTTTGTTTGTATTTTTTGTCAAACTTGTAGCTTTTGTAGATGTATTACAGTAACTAACCTGTACATGTTTGTTGGTGATGTTTTTGTGTTGAATTGTTTTAAACTTCCTCACCTTAAACCTGATCTAACCTTTTGGATGTCTTATAATTTTTTTACTATATATATAGTCAAGTGATAAATGTTTATTATTGAAATTTCCTTCCGCAAAGTTTCTGAGTTTGAAAGCATGCACTCAACCCATTCACCCCTAAAGTCACATTTGAACCTTATCAAATCAAAGGCTCGGCAAGTCCATTTTAAAAGTGTAGGGGTGAATGAGTTAATAACAAACCATCCTTTGCAAATATTATACTGTTTCAAAGGGAAAACAGTCCAAAAAATAGATATGCATTTCTAGCGATGGTTGTCGATAAATCTATTTGCTAAGGCAATAGATCTAGAGAGCAATTAATATTATTTTCAATGAAGAAAAGATCTTTTGTTTTACGGTTGTTACAGTGCCTTCAGTTTGAAGGGTCTGGATGGTTTATTACCAGTGTTGATAGAGAAAAACTGTCATGAACTCCGTTTTTCACAACCATATAAACACAACAGTACTAAACCTGTAATCCCTAACTCGTTAATTTTGTGGTGAGCCATTTGTTATTAAAGCACTATATTTGTGTAATGATCCTCCATAACTCCTGTCTCGTGTGCAACATTGATGTGCATTCTACTTGGAAACCTCCATCAAAGATATAACAATGTCAAATTGACTGTCTGCTCATCATATCTAACGTATCGTGAACAGTAGCCTTGGTGTTGGCGCACGCTTGGTTACCCCCCTAGTGTGGTGCTGATGGCCCAGAAGAGCCGCTGGATTATTCACTCCCCCAAATAAATTTCTTGAGATTCGTTTTATGTAATGCCTTATTGTAGGTTAAATCATTTCCTGTCTTAAACACCCACCAGTATCAATTTTTGCCAGCTTGATTTATACCTCAAATCGCCTAACAGCTCATACCAAACCTTGTCAAAAATCAATTAGTTCTGGAGTTCAACAATTAGCCTTTTGACGGCCCCCAAATCCAGCAGGAATTATGAAGTCAATATGATGCATGAGCATACAGTTTGAATTTGTTTTCGGTCCGGAAGACCGGTGAATGGTATATTTTAGTCGGCTGTTAACCCTCCCTGTTTCTCCTGTAACCTATGTGATTACCAATGTTCAGATATTCATCCTGTGTAATTCCTACATTTCCTGTGTTGTAAAATGTTTCATGTATAACTAATATTGCATGCATTTTAACAATGGTCAAATGAAACTTCTCTTGTTCTGGTGAAACATTTACAAACTGTATGGAAAGAATTATCTTTATTCCTGTCATACATAGTTACACTGTTCAGTGGGACGTTCAACATTGGAAGAGCACTATTTTATACATTTAGAAGAAAAAACAATGTTGTCCGATATCACTAGAGCTTTCATTTGACCCTTTAAATATAACCCAATGTACACTGTGTGTGTTTTGTGTATATGTATTGACAGGCCTAACCAGACTGTGACCATTCTTGACCATTCCACACCAAACCAGGAAACAAGGTTGGACCAGGCACTGACCCGCCCCAACAGTGGGTCAGTGACTAACACACACTTCACCAGGTATAGCCGCCTGTTCCAGAGATCTGCTTCTCAGGGAGTTGTTGTACATCTGTATGTCGAAGGATAGGTTTGACATTTAGGAATGTCATATAATCTGTAAAACTCTTGATTGTCACATGATCAGTTATGAACATCCTTATTGTCACATGATCAGTCAAAATTGTCACATGATCAGTCTAAGTTGTCACATGATCAATCTTGATTGTCACATGATCAATCTTGATTGTCACATGATCAATTATGAATATCCTAATTGTCACATGATTCAGTCTTGATTGTCATATCATCAATCTTGATTGTCATGTGATCAACAATGAAGATCATAATTGTCACATGATCGTGCAGTCTTGATTGTCACATGATGAGTTATTGAAGATCATAATTGTCCTGTGATTAAGTCTTGCTTGTCACATGATTAGTTATGAACATCCTTATTGTTGCATGATCAGTCTTAGTTGTCACATGATCCATTATAAAATCTCTAATTGTCACATAATTGTCACATGATCAGTCTTAGTTGTCACATGGTCAATTATAATTGTCACATGGTCATGCAGTCCTGATTGCCGTGTGACTGGAACTGCAGCAATCGTTACAGGAATACAAAACCAAAACTCTTTGACAGACTCTCAAACATTTCCAAGTGATAGCATTAACGTAGTAGATTTGTGAGACAGACTCTCAAACATTTCCAAGTGATAGCATTAACGTAGTCGATTTGTGAGACAGACTCTCAAACATTTCCAAGTGATACCATGAAGTAGTAGATTTGTGAGTTATGTAATATAACTAAGGGATACAGAATAGTTGTGATAATTGTTGCATGTCCCCAACACCTAGACTAACTTGCATGTTCTGCACATATAAACCAATCTATATGTATATACAGTATTTTGTGAATGCTAACTTGTATAGCTTATATTTGTATAAAGCAATTAATGTTTTGTATATATATTCAATACATATATTCAGGTGTATCTTTGTTCAGTAATGAAATTAAAAAAAAAAAAATTGTTGAGGCAAAATGTCTTTATGCATGTGTTTTAGCATTTTCAATTTATTGCAGCTAATGTTTAACATGTCAGTCGTTCAAAGGCCGATCTCCTCAAGCAGTATAATGCTTGATCTATAGCGTTGTCCAATTTGTGTTTGAAGTCGAAGGGTATTGTGACCGTTAGATATTATCAAATTTAGCCCAAATATATCATACAGACACCAAAAGGAGCTTTTGACCTTCACATACTATAATCATATGATGACGCATTTAATAAAGATCGGCTGTATGATACGTAGCCGGGTTGCGATTCGTCTTTATTTGCATAAAATAACCATTATTACCAAATAAACTATGAAACTTATGGAAATATAAAATAATGGAAAGGAATTTGAAATGTGTGATTCTGAACTTTATGGCGAAATAACTTATCCGAAGTCAACAAAGGTGAATGTTAATTGTGTGATGAGTTTACCATTACAGGAAGGCTTGACTAGCCAACATCAAAACATGTGCCGATCAATCAGTAAACATGCATTTCTGTTGCAATTTGTTTTATGTTAAAAGAATTTGAATTTGAAAACAAATTAATCCTCATGTATTTATTGATGTATATAAACTCACGATATTTCAGTAGCCGGTCATGCAAAAGGCCCATTGTTGGGAGAGATAAGTTTTACGTAAGCAGAGCTCTGCACACACATTAAGTTGACCTGAAGGTCCAATGGTTTTGTATGGTAGCATTAGAATCGTGGGGACCCCTGTAAGATGAGGTTGTATAGTGGTAATCTTTCGATCAGTTGAGTGCCTCACAACACACACATAAATACTTCACAAGTCCGTCTTTGTGTCACACTAATCAGTCCTGATATGTCAGTGTGTTTAAGTAGGTAATCAAGCAATATAATACCCTAATTTTAAACCGATATGAAAAATTGATTATGATTTGTATTGTAAAATATGAACATCAGAGTTACTCTGTGTCACCTACATCATGTGGCTGACCTGTATTCTGGTCTAGCCTGATAGTATGTGTATTATACTAGTTTTTAGTACAAATGGGGTGTCTTGTCCTTAAAATTCTACTAATGAACATGTAACGCTACCCTATATATATGTAAAAAAAAACAACTTTGAAACTTTTTTTGATCTTTACAATTTTTTAACTGCAGTAAAGCATGCTTGATGTGCACACACTTAGCTAAGCTTATATTAATACCTCTGAAGAATTCCTATTGTGTCTGCTGGAAGTGAAATTTAAAAAAATGTCAAACAGTCTATAGCAGTGATTCGGGTCCCTGGAGTTCATTATAAACAGGTTTTGTGTTTTTGAAAATTGTTTTGTAATCTTGTGTCACAGTAAAATTATTCAATTTTCAAGAAAAAGATTGGTCCTATTTCACAGAAAATGGTCAGTAACAGACAACAGTAGTCCAAACAAATATTTTTGAAATAATCTTTGAAAAAAAATTGTTGACATAAGGAAAGATCAATTGTTTGTTCTGGTTGAATATGATGGCTTTTTATCATGGCTACAATGTACCGTTTTTGGCTAACACAGCTGTAAATTGGCTAAAGTGTTATAGTAGCTTGGTTTAGACACCAGTAACTATAGTTACAGTGTGAGTAGCTAGGTTTAGACACCAGTAACTATAGTAACAGTGTACCCTACTACATGTAGACACCTGTAACTGGGCTACAGTGTGAGTAGCTAGGTTTAGACACCAGGAACTATAGTGACAGTGTGAGTAGCTAGGTTTAGACACCAGTACCTATAGTTACAGTGTACCCTACTACATGTAGACACCTGTAACTGGGCTACAGTGTGAGTAGCTAGGTTTAAACACTAGTAACTATAGTTACAGTGTACCCTACTACATGTAGACACCTGTAACTGGGCTACAGTGTGAGTAGCTAGGTTTAAACACTAGTAACTATAGTTACAGTGTACCCTACTATATGTAGACTCCTGTACCTGGGCTACAGTGTTAGTAGCTTGGTTTAGACACCAGTAACTATAGATACAGTGTGAGTAGCTAGGTTTAGACACCAGTACCTATAGTTACAGTGTACCCTACTACATGTAGCCACCTGTACCTGGGCTACAGTGTGAGTAGCTAGGTTTAGACACCAGTAACTATAATGACAGTGTACCCAACTACAAGTAGACACCTGTAACTGGGCTACAGTGTAAGTAGCTAGGTTTAGACACCAGTGACTGTAGTTACAGTGTACCCTACTACATGTAGACACCTGTACCTGGGCTACAGTGTTAGTAGCTAGGTTTAGACACCAGTAACTATAGTTACAGTGTACCCTACTACATGCAGACACCTGTTACTGGGCTAGAGTGTGAGTAGCTAGGTTTAGACACCAGTAACTATAGTTACAGTGTACCCTACTACATGTAGACACCTGTACCTGGGCAACAGTGTTAGAAGCTAGGTTTAGACACCAGTAACTATAGTTACAGTGTACCCTACTACATGTAGACACCTGTAACTGGGCTACAGTGTAAGTAGCTAGGTTTAGACACCAGTAACTATAGTTACAGAGTACCCTCCTAAATGTAGACACATGTAAATCAGCTACAGTGTTAGTAGCTAGGTTTAGACACCAGTAACTATAGTTACAGTGTACCCTACTACATGTAGACACCTGTACCTGGGCTACAGTGTTAGAAGCTAGGTTTAGACACCAGTAACTATAGTTACAGCAGTGTACCCTACTACATGTAGACACCTGTACCTGGGCTACAGTGTGAGTAGCTAGGTTTAGACACCAGTAACTAAAGTTACATTGTACCCTACTACATGTAGACACCTGTAACTAGGCTACAGTGTAAGTAAATAGGGTTAGACACCAGTAACTATAGTTACAGTGTGAGTAGCTAGGTTTAGACACCAGTAACTATAGTTACAGTGTGCCCTACTACAGGTAGACACCTGTAACTGGGCTATAGTGTAAGTAGCTGGGTTTAGACACCAGTAACTATAGTTACAGTGTACCCTGCTACATGTAGACACCTGTAACTGGGCTACAGTGTAAGTAGCTAGGTTTAGACACCCGTAACTGAAGTTACAGTGTACCCTACTACATGTAGACACCTGTACCTAGGCTACAGTGTGAGTAGCTAGATTTAGACACTAGTAACTATAGTAAAAGTGTACCCTACTACATGTAGACACCTGTACCTGGGCTACAGTGTTAGTAGCTTGGTTTAGATACTAGTAACTATAGTTACGGTGTAAGTTACTTGGTTTAGACACTAGTAATTATAGTTACAGTGTACCCTACTACATGTAGACCCCTGTAACTGGGCTACAGTATTAGTAGCTAGATTTAGACACCAGTAACTATAGTTACAGTGTCCCCTACTACATGTAGACACCTGTTACTGGGCTACAGTATGAGTAGCTTGGTTTAGATACTAGTAACTATAGTTACAGTGTAAGTTACTTCATTATTGGCACTAGTAACTATAGTTACATTGTAAGTAACTTGGTTTAGACACCAGTAACCATAGTTACAGTGTACCCTACTACATGTAGACACATGTAACTGGGCTACAGTGTGAGTAGGTGCTCAGTGTACCCTACTACATGTAGACACCTGTACCTAGGCTACAGTGTGAGTCGCTAGATTTAGACACTAGTAACTATAGTAAAAGTGTACCCTACTACATGTAGACACCTGTACCTAGGCTACAGTGTGAGTCGCTAGATTTAGACACTAGTAACTATAGTAAAAGTGTACCCTACTACATGTAGACACCTGTACCTAGGCTACATTGTGAGTAGCTAGATTTAGACACTAGTAACTATAGTAAAAGTGTACCCTACTACATGTAGACACCTGTTACTGGGCTACAGTATGAGTAGCTTGGTTTAGATACTAGTAACTATAGTTACAGTGTAAGTAACTTCATTATTGGCACTAGTAACTATAGTTACATTGTAAGTAACTTGGTTTAGACACTAGTAACTATAGTTACGGTGTAAGTTACTTGGTTAAGACACTAGTAACTATAGGTACGGTGTAAGTTACTTGGTTTAGACACTAGTAATTATAGTTACAGTGTACCCTACTACACGTAGACACATGTAACTGGGCTATAGTGTGAGTAGGTGCTCAGTTCAGATGGTCGCAATTAGGCTACAGTGTGGCGTACTGGGTTAAAATCTCAGTAAATATGCTAAACTATTCCTGGTTAAACGCTGGTACAACTAGGCAACGATATGTGTTTGTTAGCTTGTAGACACCAGGATTGAAATATGCTACTGTGCCAATAACCCAATTTAGACAAAACATATCTATGCTACAGTATGTCCTTATAAAACACATCTATACTACAATATGTCCTTATAAAACACATCTATGCTACAGTATGTCCTTATAAAACCTATTATGCTATAGTATGTCCTTATGAAACACATCTATGCTACAGTATGTCCTTATAAAACATATCTATGCTACAGTATGTCCTTATAAAACACATCTATGCTACAATATGTCCTTATAAAACACATCTATGCTACAGTATGTCCTTATCTTGGTTTGTTGTAGCCACAATGATAAGGGAACAGCGGGAGCAGACCAGGGATCCGTCTCCGAACGCCTCAATGTGGAAAAGAGCACCAAGGAGCCCCAAGCCTTTGCTCGTGCCAGGTCAGTCTTATTTACAAGGAGTATTCACTAAGCAACACAACACTTAGTGACGGACTTTGGCCTCTTGTATCAATATGCTATTGCCTCTTACTACAATATGATGACTATATTTTCTTACTCATGACTTCAATTTGAGAATTTCTTATTTCATTTAATTATATGTATTTAAACACTTCTCTTCCTTGACGAACAGCTGACCGTGGTACAGTAACTATGGTAACCAAGATTGCCATATATCACCAAGACCAGAGCATAACAACAGTGTTTTTACAACAATTATTTAATGTAATTTGTATTGATAATAGTGACATATTTGCTTTGGCAGATGCATGGATAATGCATGCAAATCTCAATGTGCAGATTTGCTTAGAGTGTTTGCAAACTGATGTGAGAGATTGAGTTTCCCTAGTATATATTGCTGACAGTGTGTGAATTCAGGCTGTTCCTTCTTTGGTGTTCCCTCCCTGTGTTGTACAAGATGATACTATTCCTCCCCTTTCCCCCCTCCCTTTGTATCTGACAGTGTTTGTTACAGTCACCCCTTTGTCTTTTTAGTATCCCCCCTATCTGTATTGTACCTGTGTGATATTAGGTGTGTGGTATTGCAAAAGGTTACGTCACCTTTGTCAGCTGGGCCCTGTCCTTTAGAAATATTAACTGATTATCTTGTGGTAGGGAAACGTGTTGATGAAAACGGAAATCTTTTTTGATCCTGTAAATTAGTTCTAGAGAGCAACAATGCTTCCTTAATGGACTTTTCGAAAGAGCAAAGGATTGTATTTTTTGTGCACATAATTAATTTAAGTCTCCGTTATTTATACTATATGTTAGTTTTGTTTTTTATACAGATTCGGTTTAGTCAACCCTGGTCATAATTTCCCTTTCCCTCCACAATAAGTTGAGTTGCTTACATGTCTGGTTTTACTTTACTTATTGGGTCATTGGATTGGTATCTTCAAAAGGATAATTCTTGCCCGAGGTTGTCCTTAAATGATTATTGATAACATATTATCTTAAACATAAGGTCCACAAAGGTTGATTCTGAGTATGTCCTTTGAAAGGTACTCGGAATATGTCCTACAAGACATTGCCCAAAGGCGCTTTTAAATACATACTTGAAAAAATTGTCCGAAGTTACTTTTGAATATAAAGGTCCTTCAAGAAATTGTGCAAAGGTACTCGGAATATGTCTTGCAGGACATTGCCAAGAGGTGTTTTTAAATACATACTTGAAAAAATTGTCCGAAGTTACTTTTGAATATGTCCTTCAAAAGATTACCCCTATGCACTTACTTATAAATGGCCTACAAAATATTGGATCAAGTATGAAATTAAAATTATTCCTTTAATGTTGTCGAAAAGTCTACAATAAGTTTTGGTGACTTCCCCCAAGTGTTTTAGTGTGCCCTTCCTTATATGTTGTCATAGTCGCCGTATTTAGATATTTCTGTCTCTGTTTTCCCCATGCATGCTCAAATAAATTGACGGTAAGTCTTGATACTTTTTGTTATTTTCTTTCCTGTGTGTTACAATGTTCACCATAATATCCGGCCAGAGACAATCAGTATTGTATCTACTAGAATTCCTGAGGAAGGCTCTATTATTTACCATGCTCTTAGATAAGTCTCTTTATGAAAAACTCATGTTTTAACTCATTTACCCCTGAAGACACATTTGAACTCTTCCAATTCAAAAGGTTGGAATAGTTCATTATGAAATTTCAGGGGTGAACGAGTTAATTGTTACAATACTGACATTCTATTCTGCATTAAACAAACAAACACATAGGAATATAACCCTTTTTCACCATCTCTTCAAATTATATCATTTCTCAAGAAGAAAATGACATTCTTTACATCCCATGTAGATAGATTACACCTAACTTCTAGATACGCTTCAATCACTTATCTTTGACTTTCGATGGCTCAGTACTTTCCACAAAATTTCTGTGCTTGATAACTTTCACCTTTCTGATGCTTTTACGTTTCACACAAACTATATCTGTCTCACAAATAGTTGACACAACATTCTTTCGATTTACACACTCACATGTAGAATTTTCTATGAACATTCAACAAATTCTTGTAGTTCTGTGTCGAAAAATATTTCCTGCCCTTGTTAAGACCCCGTCGTTATGGGTTCCTAATTTACAGCTTGTGTGGCTTATTTTGGCTTTGGTTGGTTCTTGAGGGACTGTTTCAAAAAGCAACTGGTGGTTCTCCCCCTTGTTTTTGATAGGACGTTAAACAATACTAAACCAAACCAAATCTCCCCTTGTCTTGAAACGGTTTAAAAACAGCTACATATATATGCTGCCTGATGTGAAAAGATATGTGGTCACCTGCCTGTGTAGGGTTTTTCTGGGGACCCTGATCTACTCCCATATTAAAACAGCCTGCGATGCTATTATAGGCAAAGGAGGGATTAGTATTACTATAACTTTATATCTTCCATAATTGTTATAAAATAAAGTTTAGTATTAGAAGTGTTACTGTCGACCAAGTAAGAACCTGGAACATAGAGAGCACCAACAGAGTTAGGGAGTTGGTACGATAAATGTCTTAATATTGCCGAGAGAGAATCCAACAGACTCGATCGACTCCTGGTATTGATGTCCCTGAAAGCCCCACAGCTCGCCAATCCGGCTGCATCAATTTCATGTTGACACATGTGACGGATAGGGGTCAGCTTCCTTCAGATCTATCATAGATAGCTCCAGCAAACATGTTTGAAATCAAGCGTAGAATTTCAGCAACGGAGCACAAACAACACTGCCCGGCTTGTATCAATTAAAACATTAATCTAAAATGCATTTTGTTGGGTTCCCTGTGTTTACAGAAAACCCTGTTTCTTCTGCTCGATGGAAGTCTGTGAAATGGCAACGACATCTGAAGGGGGTTTAGATTGATTTACTTTAGAAAGTAAAAATGTCTTTAATCTTGTGTAACATGCATGAATCACACACATGGAAAGTTAAACAAGAAGTGTCGCTGAATGTCAACAAAATTTATCAGGTCTTGTTACAAGTGACAAATAAAAATTTGAAGAACATCTGGATTTTTTTTTTTAAAGGACCTTATTATAAATGTTTTTTCTAAATCTTCAGTTTTATATGGATGTGAAATCTAGTCACCACTGTTTATGTAAAACGGTGCTGTTAACACTGGCGACAGGTCACGTTACCCACTTTCTGATGACAATGTTGTTGATTCTCGTAGTATCCAGAAGGAAGATGAACTGTCTGATCACGGGTCATCCGAGTCGTTGTTACATGACTATATTGAGTAAGAATCTCTTTTTATCACCCTCCCCAGAAGCAGGCTACCATCCTCACAATCAGACGCCACTGTACACAGGCGGCGCTATTTAACCTGGAAACCAGTACACAGTGACCCCAAACCATCAATGTATCCTATCATCCTCCATTACTTCTTTATATCATCATTTCTATACCATTCCTTGTGCTTTCTGAATATCTCATATTATTATTATTGCTTTAATTCCCTTCATGACATTTACTGGACAAGCAATGACAAGTAATGGACACTGCATGAAATTTCAGTAAAGCCATCAGACTTACATGACTTTTTATTAATGACAAAACTGTTATAAACTTAAACCTATGACTTCTGTTAAAAACTTAACATATTTCCTGACAACAAAACATATTTCCTGACATCAATTGGATGCTTCATAACTCTTCAGGACAGCCATTGGACATTTGCCCATTCGGGATAGCCATTGGACCTTTGATCTATCAAGACCACCATTGGACTTTGAACCTTACAGGACAGCCATTGGACATTTGACCCTTCAGGATAACCATTGGATCTTTGACCCTTCAGGACAGTGATTTGACCTTTGCCCATTCAGGACAGTCATTGAACCTTTGATCTATCAAGACCACCATTGGACTTTGACCCTTTAGGAAAACCATTAGACCTTTGACCTTACAGGATAGCCATATTGGACCTTTGACCCTTTACGATAGCCATTGGACATTAACCTTTCAAGACAACTATTAGACATTTGACCCTTCAAGACAACCATTGACCCTTTGATCTTACAGGATAACCATTGGAACTTTGAACTTTCAGGATGAGGACAACTATTGGACATTTGACCCTTCAGGTTTTTCTTTAAGCTATTGGTAACCCTGCATTAATGATGACATTTTAGTATACTTGATAATCCCTCGAAAACTTTTAAAGACTCATATCTCTTTTGATGACAAAATTGGATGCTGGATAGCTCTCAATTTCTCAACACTGACCTTTCAGTTAGATGACCTTCCATTACAATGGATTGACGATTGATAACCCCATTATACACATGCATGCACAGTATTGATGCTAGTTCTACAATTATCTGGATTGGACAGTCAAAGGAGAACGTTTATTTCTACACCACTGCTGACTCTAAAACACACACTTACATCTGTATCATCATCCCAGGACCGCACTCCAAAATGCCTGCATACATATTGTTTGTGTTTCTGGATTTTTCATTTTTAAATGTGAACATTTTAGATCTTTGCAATTTTGCACTGTTGAAACAACAAATATGAACACATTCTTTCACTGATAAGTATTATTATCCAAGAAGAAGAAATATGTGTAAGCGGAAATGATGTTTTATGTGGCGACTAGTTTGATAGTCGGTCAAGGCAAACAAAGCTAGGTTGAGTTGTACTAGATAAAGACTGCATGTTCACTACCATGTTCACAGAAAGACAAGCATGGCCGTGCGAGCTCAGTAAGTAAACAGTTCTCTGGTTCAGTTACATCACTTTCTCCCCAGCATGGTTGCATATGTAGGTCAAAACTGATGGGGTTTTTTGCTTACGAGATGACTAAATATTTTCTCTAAAGCCTTTCAAAATGTAGTTGTTTGTTCTTTATTGAATTCACATTGAAAATTCCTGTTCTTCATTGTAAGCACTGTAACAGCACCTTTTGAAATTTTGACCCTAGGATAAGTTAATTTCTTTGATGTTAAATGCAAACGTTTTCATTCAATCTATAAACTTAAACTCATATGGAGAGCAGCATGAAAATTGTAGAAATCAACCCACTGAGGTTTGAAATGCAAGCCCCATCATTGGTTCCTATAGTGGAGCGACGATTCAGGTCCTCCAGCTTTTTGCAATAAAATTGGAGGAACATCTCTGGTTATCTCAAACTGCAATCTACCCTCATGTGGTATATATCAAGTCTACTGCTTCATTTAAGTTTTCCTGGCCACTGGCACAGTAAGCTTAGTACATTTGGATCGCATACTCGGGTCAAGGACTAGCTAGCAGATTAAACTTAAAGTTGTTGAATTTAGTATCATCCAAAGCATCAGAACAAGGTCTATGATCTCCTGACACCAACCTTTCTGAATGTTTGTATAGGATTCAAATGCGAAAGAAATTTGTTGTGTCCGAATTGTTGGAAACATGTTAATAACTGGCGTTAAGGATATAATTCAAATAAATTGTGAACAGGTCAAAAAGATGTACAGGGGACTAAAGTTTAAAATTGATAGAGTTTGTAAACATTGAAACAGAATTTTTATGAAATCTGAACTTGTTATGGTAATGTTAAATCCTTTGCTGTTTAACTTGAATTTTTTCTGTGTTTATCTTAAGGGGAACAAAATAGACGGAGGGGAGGTTGCAGTTTATTTTCATTTTTTTTCCTAAATATGATGTTTTCCCATGCTTGTATATATACAATCGTAGGCTTGCCTTCCCCAGAGATCCCAGCTTTTAGCCTGTGGCAATGCTGTAGATAACTGATATTTCTCTTAATTTCCCAACCAGACCTTTACATACCTATCAATGAAATTTATTAATACACAATTCCTTAAGCATTAAGGTAGAGAGTCCCAGAGCTCTGTGTTGTATCTCCAAATAAAAAGAGTTCCAATTGTTCAGGATTTTTATGACTTGGAGTTGCATGTCAATTTACTACAGCAAAGAGTTAAATACAAAAGAAAGATATCTATTGATATTTTAATCATTTTGTGAAAACGTCTGCGCTACCGAAATTAAATCTTGATTATAAAGCAGAAAGCTAAAAAGAACTACATTGCCCTATAATTATCTTTGTATGAATATTGCAGTGATGATTATGCAGTAAAAAAAGTGGGGGGACTCTCTATCTTAAAAAAAAAAAATGTTCACATAATACTTGAATTTGTGATTGATGCATAATATAAATTTATGCGGAAAATAAATGCAAGAAATATCAGTTATCAACGGCACCTTAAGGAAGCCTCTGGTTTAAACTATTCCCAAATATAGGCCACACACTAGGATTTTACAAGGACATGATTTGCTGTGCAAGGAGACTGCTCGCAGAGTGAAAACATTTGATTGTTTTGTTTCAGGTGGAAGAGAAAAGCAGGAATAAGAATAGGCTAGTTATAAATCAACGATATTATTGCACAACTCCTTTAATGGTCACCACATCACTGTAGAGTTGTTGTCCACATCTTGAGATCGTCTGTAGCTTATTATAGATCCTTTGCAAATAGAACATTATTCTTTGCCTTTCTTCACATGATGAATAAATGATGACTTTCTTAATTAACAAATAAATTTAAACGGACTGTTTTGCAATGAAAACTTGAGGTTTTGTAAGTGTTCAGCACAGCAAGACTGTTATATTGAAAATAGCATGTACTGATTGACGCTTCTATTTCCAATAAGTTGAACCTTAATTGCTTGCTTGCGTCCAGGCATCAATTGTGATACATAACATGTCATTTTATAATTTACTAGAGTTTTGTGTATTATATGAGGTAATTTTTGTAATCCATTGTCATTATTTAAATGTATAATTTGTTCAGGTTTGTTTTATTTCTTTTTAAATAAGATTTGTGTTTAATTTAATTCAAGTTATTTATGTTAATTTTTTTTTGTATTTTTCTTGTTGCATTTCCATTCTTTACCTGGAATGACCCATAGGTTCAGGTGCGAAAAATCACTTTTTTTTGAGTGATCTCCCTTATGTGTAACTCTCTGCTGAATTCACAAAGCATACCTTCATCTGTCTGCTTATTTTACCTCATAATCTTGTAACGCTCACGGCAGACTTCTGCCTCAGTTGTTGTTATTTAATTGTATTAAATCAGACCTCTTTCTTATGAAAGTACATAAGATATAAAGTATTCATCTTGTATTATAATTATTCTTTAAACTTTGACACTGAAATATATTTAAAAACAACACCTGTTATAAATTCTTATTTGGTTTGCATTTTTAGCTCACCTGGCCTGAGTAAAGTCAAGTGAGTTTATGCCATGGCGCTGTGTTCGTTGTCCATTGTTTGTCCATCCAGGGTCTTTTTCTCAATAACCACAATGGCAAGGGTGATGTAATTTGGCCAAAAGCATGCAGAGTCATGAAGGGCTACCAAGTTCGTTCAAATGAATGACCTTCACCCATATCCAAAGTCACAGGGGTCAAATGTTTTGAAAACAGCTTTTAAACGACTTTTTCTGAATAACCAAAAGGCCCAGCTTGGTGATGATATATGGATGGTAACATGCTGGGATAAAAGATTTACAAATCTGTTCAAATGAATGACCTTCACTTATTTATATTCAAGGTCACATGGATCAGTTGTCTTCAAAACTTTTAAACATCTTCTGAATAACCAAAATGACCATGTTGATGTTATTGGCCAGTAGATTGCTTGGATGAAGGGATACCAAGTTTGTTCAAAAGAATGATATTGACTCAAAATCAAGGTCACAGGGGTCAAATTTGTTTTAAAAAAGCGCTTCTGAATAATAAAAAAAAAGAATAGTTAAGTGATATTTGACCAGTGGCCTGCTCAGATGAAGAGCTTATAATCAAGTTTGTTCATTTGATTGACCTTTACCTTTTTTCAAGGTCACATTCTGGTATGGTTAAATGTGTAAAAAGTCTAGGGTGATGATATTAGCATATTGCATGCAGGGATATAGTTTGTTCAACTTAATGACTTTGTTAGACTTTCAAGGTCACAGGGACCAAATGTGTTAAAATCTTTTAAAAGTTCTTTTGAATGACTGACAGTCATAGATACTGATAGTTTTCCTGTAGCTTAATTTTAGTCCAAATTTAAGGTTACAAGTGAGAGATTAATACCAGGTGAGCAATACAGGTCCATTGGACCTCTTGTTAAGTTAAAATCACTTAAGTCAATCAATATCAATTTAAGGAAAATAATTTCCATGATAGGCCAGATGTTAGTGCAGACAGATATAATGCCTCCTTTATCCTCCTGTAGTCCCACCTAACTGACCCTCAGTAATTTACTGTTAGTAAATAGACCTATACATGTTTAACTTTGTACTGTGTCCCTTCTGGGATACCAACCTCTATGTTTGTGATTACAACTCTTATTAGACAGTATCTTCAGTCCCCAGCACCCAAACGATGACCATAGAAAGTGTTGAATGTTAGATTGTTTAGGAGGTATCCTCTCTGTTTTCAATGTAATACTGTTGAAAGTGATTCATCATTGTTGAATATGTGTTGTCGTGTAAACTTTACAACAGTATGATGTGACCTGTTGGACAGAACTCAGTGCTCCATCATATGTACTGAGGCTGGATTATTGAATGATATTTATCAACTTTTTTAAGTTGGAAGTTTTTTCAATTTATAAAGGCCGTATTCCTGTTAGATTTAATTAGAGATGATCACGATGTTGAAATGTTTGAATAGCTGGATTCCCCCTAGATACTGCATGAATAAGAATGGTTTTGGCTGTGGGGAATTTTTTGATTTCCAGTTAGGCTCCATTTAGAAAGAGTGATAGCAAGGTGTCCTAATTTCCAAGATACTACACAATTATAAAGGGATAAGGGTGGACTGTTGGATTTCCTAGATATCATTTACAGTTATTCTATTGTAGAGAAGTTGTTCCTTTAACCAATCTAAATATGGATATGTTTAAAAAAAAGAAAATGTTTAAATGAATAAGAATCAGTATCCCACTCGATCCCACTTTTGGACAAAGAATTTCAAACTTGTGTGTATTTTTAGGAATTAGTACATGTATAGAATGATGAAGATTTTCATGGCGCTTACTCCTTTTTGGAATGGATTTCTATTCTTTTCTATTATGTGACATGTGTGCATGCTTTAGAAGAAGAGAAATTGTGCTTCTACAATATAAACTGTATAGCGTTTCTGTTTTCCTGAGTATTCATCTTTACAAATCAATAATGTTTTCTACATATGATATAAGTGATGAAGAGAATTGTGCAGTAATGAATCTCTGGCAAATAACGGAAGCTACAGCTGCTGTGAATAACAAAGATCCGTGCCTCATCTTTTGGCCTGTCGGAGTGTGTCTGCATGTCCTGCTTGTCCAGCAGTTTCACTTTCTTATCCTCTTGTTGGTGGTTCTATTTTAAAGATGTACTTTGCTGAATATAATAAATAGCTCATCTTTGGGGCATGAGCAAGCTCTCACTGTACTTGCATGTGTTAGTTTAGACTCGTAGTACATCTTTGGGGCATGAGAATGCACTGAGCAGTACCTGCATGTGTTTGTACAGTTTTTGGACATGCCAGAAAGCACTCTAAGATGCATGTGCTAGTCTAGCTTCAGGATATAGTGCCACACAACTTTTTTCGCACAATATCTCATGAATATGCTTCTTTTATTTCTGATTATATATATATGCATTTAATTGATATGCTATCTCAACAACCTATCTTAACAACAATTTACAAAAAATCACGATCTGTTCAAGATTTTTAACGATAAGTTACGAAATTATCACATAATAAAAAATAAACAAAAACTCTTTGTTTTATCTGAAAATTTGATCTAGAGTTCTTAAACTTTAAATTGAAACTGTCATAAAAGAAAGGTAGAAAATGGGGAAAAAAAATAACATTATTTTTGTTATTGTTTATATATCAAGAGATCTTATAATAGAGCTTGTTCAGTGTCACAGATGTGACCGCGGGCTCTTTAGTGGTATCTGTCTGGTACAACCAGATTACAAGCCACTGACATCATCTGACCACCATATTGTCCTGGTCATTAACTCCAGAAGCCTTTTAGATGTCCGTATTAATCATTATTGGCAGACTAAGTTAACAGTTTCTGGACATCCATCTTTTATATGTGGTCTTTCCCCAATGTACTTTGTCGTATAAAGTAAGAAACGTCGGGTTAGATTTATTCGGACCCTTGAGTAATGGTCTTGTATATTGGATCACCTAGTCATTCAAATTAAAGATAAAGAATAAAGTGTTAGTATACTACATAGAATCAGGTCTATAAATGTTTTGACGGTTATGTGTTTTGTTTTTAGTGATAACAGATATGATTTTGTTTCTAGAGAGAGTAGATTATTTTGTTTTGCATGTGCAATGCTAGATCTTATAATTTTTGGTTCATGTTCGGTAGCATTTTTGACCATTGGACACTTAAGGTGGAAATGCTTGGTAGAAACTGACCAGTAACATCTGTATTTTTCTTCCCTACGACAGATTCCGTCATGCTGTTGTTAGTGCCATGACTGGAAACAAGAAAATGAGAACTGGCAGCGGAAAAGCTTCGGCGAGATTTGCAGAGGTTGTCCAGACTGTCCAGAACATCAACATCAAGGGCAAGATGCCTACTGGTAGGTCACTGAATCGAAGGTCATGGAAGTCTCCTTGTATCTTTTCAAGGGTTTCCATGTAAATCTTTTCTTTGTTTGTATGTTGCCCTGGTTTTATCGATTTTGAGTTCAAAATTATGGTTTTGCTGACACTCTGGTATGCTCTTGTTGTTTTCGTTCTTACATGACGTACTGATCAGAGGTACCCCAATATAAACAGGTTACTAAGGTCTCCGAAGTTATAAAACAAGCAACATGTAAATATGCTTGTAATGATATTGTCTTTTACTAGAGACAGTAACACAAAAAGCAATATGCCCACTACAGCCAGTCGAACTTGAAGAGCAACATGCTCAATGGAATAAGGTCGTTAACCAATGTCGGATGATTCTGCTTTCTGGAGTGTTTTTCTTGTCCCAAACCAAGTGGCTAGAATGCTTGCTGATGTTGAATGGGAATTTGACCTAAATTGTGTCTGCTGTAACATTTTCATGTGTCTACAATTTCATCTCTTGGTAATTAAATACCATCATATCTCAGTCCTTGTAAATAATACCTCAAAATAGTCTTCAAAATAGCAACGTTACCTCTGAAATAGCTTGCTACTGTATAGTCGCTAATATTCTTGTTGGGGTTTTTTTCCAATTTCGCGAATGCGGGAAAATTTTGCGAAATTTAAACCCTCAGGAATATTTGGAGATTGTGGCCAAAACTTTACCACTTCACACGTCTGTGATATCAGTTGAGCTGAGGCTACTGGGTCAAAACATTGTTTTGAAAGAAGTACAATAGAAAATATGTTAACAATTAATAGATGCTACATCTGCACATTCCTTTTACAATAGCAATACATATACGACTGCACGCATGATAGGAATTACAGGATAATGCTTTTGATAATAGCAAGTTGATTTCTATAGTATCTAGCAATTTATTAATTAATTGATTATGTAATGCAGGCGAGCTGTTTGGAAAGTTTACATTTGCCTCCGACCGTTACGCCGTACTGGAGAGCACTGGCACTTTAGATGTGGATGTTCTGTTCCACAGGAACCTTCCGTAAGTACTTGAAAAAAAATCCAGCTCAAGTCTTTTTGCCTTCACAAATACACTGTATTATGATTTGTTTCAAAGTTCTCCAGTTATTATATATGCCTATTGTGTTTTAAACCCTAAAAAAACATCAGTTCATTTATAATTTTCAGAATGAGGTTCAAAAAGGTTAAAAAAAAAAAAAAATATAAAGCATGCCTCACTTTTCAACATGATTGTAAATTACTCAAATTATCAGAAGCTTTGAACATGTGCTTGCTATAGATCCAAGCTTCTTGGCCATATATTCAGTTATAGTCAATGCTAGGTTGAATTTCAAAATCAGCGATTCTTAGGAAGAGATATGTAAAGAGTTATTTCGTAAGGATAAACTGCCACTACCATCGAGGGGTGGCGCGGTCTGCTTGTTTATGTACAGGCGTGTGACGTTATGTCTGTTTTTACGCAGTTCTGACCAAGGGTAAGCCCAGACAATGCCGCACCTAGATGCAAGATAGTTTCTATGTGTGCACTCCATCTGTCTTAGCTTTCTCTCATGTCATCTCCTTTCTATATATTATATACACTATATATACATCGTAATTTTTAGTCCAGGCATTTTTGAGGGGGGAAGGTGTTAATCGTTATTAAATTTGTCTGTAAAATGCCTGGACTATCTTGCCATGACTGAGCTAGCTTCTAGCATATATTGATATATTGTTTGATGTGACAATCACCTAGATAGAATATGGTGACCACATGTGAAGTTTTTGTCGTGTTTTAATTGTAGGTAGATATGGATTTCTTATTTGTTGTTGTGTCTAAGACTACTAAAAGTACATTTTGTTGTGTCTTTAAGACTCTAGATAGAAGTCATTGCCATGCTTCACCAGTAATAAGCCTGTATCCTGTAAATTGACTCTTTATACGGAAGAAACACATCAACTCTCTGGCAAGGGGTGGGCTTATTAGTGAACATGTGCTTATCACTGGTGAACAATGGTAAATAGAAATCACACTTATTGTTAACTTCTTAAGTGCTTAAAAGTAAGGTAGAATTCATGGTATTATTCTTATTGTATGCAAAGAAAACTAACAGATCTTATGTTTTTTTACCGGCAAAATCATTGCAGCATGTAAAATGCAGATAAATGAAAAAAAAAAATTAAAAAAAAAAATTTAAATCTGTGTTTAACTTTGTTTACATTGTAATTAAAAATGGAAAACTAAAATTTGTATACAGTGTTGTAATTACATGAATTTAGGAAGTTTTAACATTTTCTCAACTGCTGTGAAGTTGAATTTTCTTTATAAAGAATTTCCTGTGAAAATAGAACAAATACAGATGTAAAAGAAGAAGGAAGTGTTGTAGCTGACACAGAGCTGCATCAACATGTCATTAAAATTTGACTACTGTGCTGATTGTGCATGGAATTATCATGTTAACTGTTTGCTTTAAATTACCTTAAAAAAATACTGGTATACATATTTGGGGCCTGTTCTAAAGATATTTTCAGTCTGAATTTCGGCTTCCTGGTAAGGATACAAGTAACTTATTTGGAACCTATAATAGGCATATACTCATATCTACAAAAGATATAAAGCATCAATAACAAGCTTTGCATGTATTGGTACGCTTTTAGGGAACACAGTAAGGATCAGTGTGTAAATCTACAAAATAGAGTCAGGGCCATTAATAACAATTAAATGTACATATTGACAGATTTGGGGCCAACAACGAATCCTGCAGAACAGTTGTTTCACGTATATCTATATACATGGGGAATATGCAAATCTTGCTCATCATCTGCAATTTGAGGCCTCCCTAGATCTTGCATATGTTAAATCATATCTATATTTAGATTTTGTCAACACTATTAGATGAGATATGTATGAAATTACACGTATATTATCCTGACATCTAGTAGCTTTAGTAGGGCAAGAAATTGGAGACGAGTGATTGAATTTCGATGTCCTAGAGATGGCACTAGGATCGAAGCCTCCGGGCCTACCGTAATTGTCCTGGTCCGTGTATAAATAGAGAATGATGGGAGGTAGTGGGATTAGGGATCCGATCTGTTACCAGGTCTAATTCACCGATTATTGGTGACACCAGATAACGAAATCTATCAGTGTTAGTGACTCTGACCAAAGCTAGTTCTAGATTGCCATTAGCAATACACATCTGTAAACAGCTGGAGGTGGCCAGACACTGTGTTCCAAGGCAAAATCATAATAATATATAAGTGGAATGTTTATCACGGTATTATTGAAGCACAAATATTGCCTTGTTGACCTCAAGTGTATTTGTCTTATCTTCCTGTTGACCCAAATGACTTTGGGTATGTCTGTCCAGTCTATCTGTTGGCCACTAGCTGACCTCTGTGTGAGACATGTCTGTTTTTCGTATTCGTGTTGACCTCTGTGTGAGACATGTCTGTTTTTCGTATTTGTGTTGACCTTTGTGACTTCAAACGTGTTTGTCCTGTCTCTGTGTTGACAGAACGACTTTCGATAGTCTGTCCAATATCTCATGATCAGTTGACCAATAGGCCTTGGGGCATATCTGTCCTATCTCACTTTTGACCTGTGTGACTTAGGGCATATCTGTCCTATCTCACTTTTGACCTGTGTGACTTCTAGCATGTTTGTCCAATCTCCCTGTCGACCCAATTGACTTCGGGTACGGCTGCTGCATCATCTTCTTGGTGACTGATATGACTTTGGGTACGTTTAATCTAACTCCACTTCAAACGTGTAAAACCAAAGCGGACCACCATCTTGGATCTGAATGCACACATATGTATGTGTCCGTCCTACACCTGTTGTTAATCCTCCACATAGTTTTGTTTCTGATTCCTGTATCTATTGGATTTTTTTTTTTTAAGTTTCCCATGTTTTTTGCTCACAGATCCCCTATTATACCGTACCTCCAAAGGCAGCGCAGTGAAGCTATTATGGCACTTATAGGGTAAAGGCTGTAGTGTTCCACCACCAAACCTCAAACAGCACATAAATCCCAACACGTTGTTCAAAGTACTATAGGCATTGTCTCCTATTCATAATAGTTTGCCACATAGTCCGTTTTACACATGTAGTGTATGAACAGTTTCAATATTGACCTGTTAAAGGTGGTAACTTATTGTATGGTAAGTCACTTATGTTTCCTGATGCTATACTATCACAATAACACTACAAGTCACTCCTCTTTTGAGAGCTGAATTCACAAAATGAACATGCGGTAAATTTTAAATTCATGCAAATATATGCAAAAATTAATAACTACCAAAATACAAGTGATTTACAATACTAAAGATTGCTTGTCCAATTTACTTTAAATTTAAACGAAACATTTCAAACCTTGATAATTCTTTGAATCAGGAGTCTAAACTTTGAACAACTTGCCAATATAATCCTGTCCACTTTTCAGAATCCCCATAACATTCCTTTTTTTCAGGCCACATCTTGCTGTGTTCAACACATAATATTAACAAAATTACGAACATGAATGTAAAGAAATAATGAAATTTCTGAAAAACTGTTCTTAAAAAAGGAAAAAAAGTCATTGCATGCCTTCTAAATGTTGATGTAATCTAGCCTGTAGTATGTTATAAAGATTCTGAATAATTGATCGATAAATGTTACTCTGTTGCAGAATTACTGATAGTGAGTGAATTGATATACGTCACATCATTGTAGCTAGCTGTGCAGGTTTATTGATAAACATTGCTGCATTGCAACATTAATGTATTGCAGCATCGTTGTAAATAGTTGAAGTTTAATTGATAAATTTTAATGAATGCAATAATTGATAAATGTTAATGAATTCCATTATCATTGTATTTATAAAGTTAATTGATAAAACATTAATGTTTTGCAGCATCATTGTAATTAGGTAAAGTTTAATTGATAAACATTGATGTTTTGCAGCATCATTGTAATTAGGTGAAGTTTAATTGATAAACATTAATGTTTTGCAACATCATTGTAATTAGTTGAATTTTGATTGATAAACGTAAATGAATGCAATAATTGATAAACACTAATGAATTTGCTTTATCATTGAATATAAAGTTTTGATTGATAAACATTAATGTTTTGCAGCATCCTCGTTATTTAGGTCAAAGGTTGATTGATAAATATCACTACTGCAGCACGTAAGATATAAGAGATGAAACAAAATTAGATGACAATGTACGCACATGATTTACTTCAAAACTATCGTGAAATCTTGTCGGACTTGATCACTAAACACTAAAACCAAGGGAAGATAACTGTGTTATAGTTGTATGTTATTGTATTCCTTATCAATCAGTTTCTGTTTTGAAGTTATCTGCGCAATGAAAGTTACAAGTGGTTGCCCTATCTATCAATAAATCAATACAGGAAAGGGAAAAAAGGTCTCCTATAGTTATTTGCATTATCATAGTTGAATTGATTGGCTGTAATGGTCATGTGATAAGATCAACGGCACTTCACAGTCGTGTGAATACACAATGGTTGTTGATTCAGATATACAGTTTTCGATAAGCAGGAGTACATCATTTTATTAATTGGATTTAAATTAGATATACAAGAGGTTTATACCCTTTGTACTAGTAAGTGCTTGATGCGTAGAACCTTGCGAGACCAGACACAAATTAACGGCTTCTGCCAAAATTTGGAATCAAAATTTATGTGATAAGAACATATACATAACCCTTTAAATTTTTAAGTAAAAACTTAATAATAAAAAAAACTTATGACTTGATAGCAAGATGTGTGAAAAAGGTCTTCACCAGATACCTAAGTATCGTGGTACCATTCTAGCTGACTAGAAAACCGGTAATACACTACCTGATGCTATTATGAGTATCGTTTCCTGGTTCTGTGTAACGAGGTATTGCATCTTTGAGTGACCAGAGTATTTATACCATACTAACCTTCACTCTTGTTTTCATACCTGTGTACTTAATTTTATGTTTGTGTTAGGTTCAATTTGATTCCCTGCACATTTGTTTGAAAGTCATAATTGTTCAATTCCTAATTAAATGTTTATGGCTATAGATTGGATATGGTTTCTGAGTATGAAGCCCTTCCAATGATTCCCACATTGTGTTGTCTGACTGTTATACTCAATAATAAAGTGTGAAGCACAAAACCTTTGTATAAAGTGCAAAAACCCAAATGTGTAAAGTAAAAACCCAAATGTGTAAAGTAAAAAACCCTCATGTGTAAAGTAAAAAAACAAATGTGTAAAGTGCAAAACCCAAATATGTAAAGTGCAAAACCCAAATATGTAAAGTAAAAAAAAAAATGTGTAAAGTAAAAAACCTGAATGTATAAAGTGCAAAACCCTAATGTGTAAAGTACATAACCTTAATGTGTAAAGTACAAAACCTGAATGTATTAAGTGCAAAACCCAAATGTGTAAAGTATAAACCCATCACAGGAAAAGTATAAAACCTTGTAAAGTAACCAGCCATAATGTATACAAGGCAAGACCCAAATGAATAAAGTGCAAAACCTTTATGAGTAAAGTTCCAACCCTAATGTCTAATATTCAGAATTTAAAGTGTTAAGTACCAAACCCTAATGTGACAGTTAACATAGAAAAGGTGGAAATATTCTCATGGGGAAAATAGATATTCACATTCAAACTAAAACAGACAATTCAGCAATGATAATATGCATGGCTTTTGCTGTTGAAGTGCTTTCAAATACCATTTTAACTTATAATCAATAATTTAAAAAAAATAGCAAATAAGTAGAAATTTAAAATAACAAAAACAGAAATGTTACAGTTTGTTTTTTCTACTGTTCACAGGAAGCCTGGAAGTAAGCCACAGATTGCAGTAAGTATTTACATCAAGACCAGTTTAGTTTCATTTGCTAAACTAATTGCTACCCAAATGTTTTAGGCTGATTTCGATTTTAGCATGTGACTTCGATCCTGCCTCACATCCAATTGTAAAATTGAACATTTAACCTTTAAACCTCATAGTATTGAATAATTACCTATACAGGTTTGAGACATAGATTGAAGCAATTGACAGTACAGGAAGTTCTCAGACCGATTCAGGAAGTTCTTCTGTCCGTAACCAGCAATGATAATACCAGCCATCTACGTAGACTGAAGGCTTAATTATCTCTAAAAAGAGCAAGTGCTCGACAGAAAGTTTGTCACTTTCAACCAGCAATACACATGTCAAACGCCAAGCCGGTAGATTTTCTCCTTAAGCCAGCATTTATGGACACAAGATTTCTCGATTATATCAGCAATACTGATACGTTTTTAATTATTGTGTAACAGAATGGAGATGCCGGAGCTGCGAAGGGAGGTAAGGTGGCACCATCGTCTGAGTCAGAGCAGACGTTTACTGGGGACGTGACAGTGGAGTATGAGACGAGGGAAGGATCAGCCAAGGCTGGCAAGGACTTCAAGTACACTCAAGGGTTCCTCGTAAGTACACTCAAGGGTTCCTCGTAAGTACACTCATGAGGTCCCCATAATTCCACTCAAGGGTTCATTGTAAGTACACTCAGAACGTCCCAATAGGTACACTCAAGGGTTCCTCGTAAGTACACTCAAGGGTTCCTCGTAAGTACACGCAGAAGGTCCCCATAAGTACACTCAAGGGTTCCTTCTAAGTACACTCAGAAGGTCCCCATAAGTACACTCAAGGGTTCCTTCTAAGTACACTCAGAAGGTCCCCATAAGTACACTCCAGGGTTCCTTGTAAGTACACTCAGGAGGTCCCCATAAGTACACTTAAGGGTTCCTTGTAAGTACACTCAGAAGGTCCCCATAAGTACACTCAAGGGTTCCTTGTAAGTACACTCAGGAGGTCCCCATAAGTACACTCAAGGGTTCCTCGTAAGTACACTCAGAAGGTCCCCATAAGTACACTCAAGGGTTCCTCGTAGGTACACTCAGGAGGTCTTCATAAGTACACTCGAGGGTTCCTTGTAAGTACACATAAGTACACTCAAGGGTTCCTCATAAGTATACTCGGTAATCGTCTAGAAGTACATTCTGATACTCCTTGTAAGTTCACTCGAGGAGTCCACATCATCAAACTCTTCAATTCCTTTTAAGTACATTCAATTATCCCCTGGGAGTACACTCTGATACTCTTTGTAAGTATACTGGGGGAATCCTGATTATTGCACTCAGGAATTCCTTTTAAGTGCATTCAGGGATTCCCAGTTCAATTATTGATTACTCGTATTTACCCTCAGTAAGTGTTTGATAGTATACACAGAGATTCTTCACAAGTTAAATTATGGAATTCTCCATATTAGTACATGCACATATTTCCTTAAAGTATATGTATGTATTTTCTGTAAGTATATGCAATAATTTCCTTAAAAGACATACATAGATTCCTCAATACACACAGGGATTTACCCGACATACACACTGATTCCCTGACAGGTATAAATTTAGGAAATTGTGTTGAGAATACAAATATTATTAAGTTATCTTTGCTTCATTTAGGATATCTAATAACTCATGGACTGTTTACATATATCCTAAAGTACTATCCCTAGGAGTTCTCTAAACATCTGGCATTGCATTTGGAACACCAACAGTTCAGTTTTTCCACAGTTACCTTAATACAAATATGTGTCACAATATTTTTGCAGACATTCAAGGAGAATGAGTTCACCAAGTCCATTACAATCCCCGTCATCAATGACCAGCAGTTTGAGAGTGATGTTGACTTCTACATCATTCTGAAGAACCCCAACAACGGCAGTAACATTGGCGACCCAAGTGTCACCAGGGTTACCATCGTGGACGATGACGGTAGGTAGCCTAGATCTATACTGATGTCCGCTCTGTTTGTAATTCGGACAATTTTTGATGGAGGTGACAGAGCATGGGTAGCTATTGGTCGAGTGTACAAATGCATTAAGACAAGTTTTCTTCAACTTTGGAAGTCAAATCCACAACTATCAGTAAGTGGTATTATAACTTCTTGGATCTTATGACAGACCAGAACTGTTTCCAATGAATTGAAAACGAAAACATTTCTTTTACATATCTTATGTATGAAAGCTGATGGATTTGCATGAGCAGTTTGTTTTGGAATTATGATTGTTATTGCTAAAAGCTAGAAAAGAATTTGTCATTTTGAAATATATTTTTTTAGAAAAATAAGATGTTTACATGTATTTATATCTACTGATTTGTCTACAGAGCCTGGGGAGTTTCTGTTTGAACACCCTCACTGCTATGCAGATCTGAAGTCGGGCAAAGTGAGTTGCCGGGTGGTGCGGGAGCATGGCTTTGATGGCAAGGTCACCATGGAATACTCAACCATGTAAGCGAAGTTAGAAAGGATTGGGGTCAGTACTAAGGACGACCGTGTTGTTGTTGTTTTGGAAGTTGTATTATCAGAACATCTTTACAATACAGAAGAACTAAGCTATGCACTTTTTAGCTCGCCTTGACCCACTTCCAAGGTCACTGGGGTCAGATGTTTTAAAATCTTCAAACGACTTCTTCACAATAACCAAATGGCCAAGGGTACTGATATTGGGCATGTAGCATGCTGGGTTGAAGGACTGCCAAGTTTGTCCAAATGAATGACCTGGACCCACTTTCAACCTAATGTCCTTGTTCGACATTCAAGGTCACAGCGTCATAATATTATGTTTAAATCTTTTAATAGGTTCTTATTAATCAAACACTGATATTCTGCCTGTAGCTGTACTTAAGTCCACTTTTAAGATTACAAGAGTAAAATTAATACCAGGTGAGCGATGCAGGCCCATTGGGCCTCTTGTTTCACTGAACCATGCTGTTTGAGTTAACACAGAGCACAGTGATATAAGATGTTTAACATGTTACATTGATCCAAATTGTTCAACATATCACAATGAACTGATTACGGAGGCACGGTAGTCTAGTTGTAGGACGTCTGGCTTGTGACCAAAGGGTTTCGGGTTCGAGTCACGGCACGGCACCGTGTTGTTTCTTTGAGCAAGAAACTTTACTTCGCTTGTTCCAGTCTACTCAGCTGTAAATGAGTACGTGGTTGGGCAGTGCTAGAATTGTTGAATGCTAGCTGTGAGCGCCCAAATGGCAGCACCGGCTGTATGCTCCCCAGGGAGTTAAGCTGGTTGCAAAGGCCCTATAACCACAGATAATAATGTGTGAATCGCTTTGAGGCGACCTATAAACTAGGTTGTGATAAAGCGGTATATAAGAACCTCAAATTATTATTAATATTTTTACTAACTGAACTGTCAGCATAAGCTTTTATCGAAGTTTATAGATTACGTAATAATAAAGTCAATGTCTTGTTTTTCCTTAAGAAATAAACTTTTCATTTATAATTTGCAGTGATGGTACTGCGCCAGGGGGTAAAGAAATCGGAGCCAATGCTGACTACGTCCACACTGAGGGCATTTTGACCTTTTCTCATGCTGAGACCAGCAAAACTATTGAAATCAACATTAAAAAGGATGCCAAGGTACAAACCTGTATTCCTTGTATTTCTAATTACATAAAATTGATATTAAGTTTATTTGATTTATTTTAACATATGGTCTGAACTAGCTTCATGATTGTACACACTTTCACTAGTCTATACTGTAGTTTTAGAGGCGTCGTAATTTGATTTTCAAAAACAACAGTCCATTGACTGACCATGCATGTCATGATGCAGGGTACAAGTGCTAATGTCTTAATTTACATGTAGATAGATATACAAAATGTATGCTTTTCTGATATATTTTTGAAAAATGAAAAATATCAGTTGCCAACATTATTTTCACTCTATTCAATGTGATTGTCTAAGTTAAACACCAATAACTATGTGTATCATTTAGGCCTTGGTTTTTTATCACATTTGAACATGTTCCGGTGTTGATCTTGTAACATGCGGATCAATCAATGCAAGTAAAAATAAATAAAGATTACATATCAAACAAAGTGTCAAAAACACGTTTCAGGGTGCTGCTAACGAGGTGATTACTTTTCATCATTTTTTAATGTTAAGAATTATCAGGATTAAAGTATGGCTTCAACAAGACTACAGTCCAGCTTTTATTGACACATAACATTAAAACTGATCAACTGGAGATCTTGCAGCATCCTTGAAGGATCAGTAACTTGTACATAAGAAGTTTTTTGACTGGTTTATGGCCTGGTGCCTTATTCCTTTTGAATTTATTTAAGACTTATACAGTTATTTAGTCTGAAAGTAATGATTACTTAGCATGTTTATCTATCTTAAATTATTAAATTAATCATAAAATCAACAACTAAGTAGATGAACATAGTGATGAATCCTGACCATTTTAGTGCAACTTTTTTCCTCCTGTATTTGGGGAAAATCCCTGTCTAGAATAAATTTCTATGTTGGGAAAAGGTAACAAACTGCATGTACTCTATAAATCTAAAGTAATCCTTTTAATACAACAGAGATTTCAAAAAAAAAAAAAGAAAAAAAAAAGGGTAGCATGATACATTTAACCAAATGTTTGCAAGTTTATAAAATAGATGCCTCAGATATGAGGAATATAACACGGTTATGGGAAAGATATAGGTTCCTTAACTGTGAAGTTGTAAATGGGATGCCAATTATAAGAGAATACTTTAGAATTATTTCTCAAAAGAGAGTTTACTTAACACAATGGTTGGTTTGACCTGCTTGAGAAAAATGTCTGGGCAAAGTACAGTAAATAAATTGTCACATTAAACCCTGACAACTTACTCAAAATTTCTCTTCTAAACTTCAAAAACTACTACATTTTGAAATCTTAATTAGATATTGTATGAAATTTTGAATATTGACTTTTGACAGAACTTTGATTTTGCAGATGTCATAGGTGCATCGTTACTGGGTAAGAACCTGCCTCAGTTAGATGCTACGTGTTTGACCGCTAGTTACACATACTCCGCTATCGGATTGGCTACTGCAGTGTTGCTTTGTAGTAAACAGCCTCCCACCCTACGCTGGTGTCACTGTCTAACTTTACTGTCTGTTTTCCAGGGTTCCAAAAACTTCATCATTGCCATAAAGAACCCCAGTCTGGGGGCTAAGATAGGGCAAAGGAGTGCCACTGTGTGTCACATCAACAAAGGTACAGTTACAGTATATAATCAGCTCATAACCCTCTGTAGAGCCACACGAATATATATTACGCTGAGGGCATAGCTCAAGCCTCCCTTATACCACTGTAGTCTACTGTTACTGTATCTTCAGTTAGAATTAAAAGATTTATGGATGATATGAAACATGCAGTTTAGCTTTATGAAAACAAAATTATTGTGTGTGATTAAAAAAGTCACTGCTTGCACATTTTGCTTAATAAAACAGACTTCATTTTATTGGCACCAACTCAAAATTCAGGCATCAAACTGGGTGATAGTTTTGCTTTCATTGACACATTTTTATGCTCACCTGGCCCGAATTAAAACATTTAAACAACTTCTCCTGAATAACCAATAGGCCTTAGGTGCATACATTTGGCCAGTAACATGCTGGGATAAATGGCTACCAAGTTTGTTCAAATAAATGACCTTGATTTATATTCAAGGTCACAGGGGTCAAATATGTTTAAAACCTTTAAACAACTTCTTCTGAATATTTGAGAGGCCTAGGGTGATGAAATTTGTCCAGTAACATGCTGGGTTGAAGAACTACCAGGTTTGTTCAAATAAATGACCTTGACTTATATTCAAGGTCACAGGGGTCAAATATGTTTATAACCTTTAAACAACTTCTTCTGAATAACCAAAATGCACAGGGTGATGATATTTGGCCAGTAGCATGCTGGGATGAAGGGCTACAGAGTTTGTTCAAATGAATGACCTTGACCAACTTTCAAGGTCACAGGTGTCATATGTCTTAAAAACTTCAAACAACTTCTTCTCAATAACCAAAAGGTCCAGGGTACTGATATTTTGACCTGTAGCAATCAGGGCTACCAAATTTGTTCAAATGAAGGACCTTGACCCACTTTCAACCTAATGTCATTGTTTGACATTCAAGGTCACACTGATATTCTGCCTGTAGCTGTATTTTAGTTCACTTTTAAGATAACAAGTGTGAGATTAATACCAGGTGAGCGATGCAGGCCCATTGGGCCTCTTGTAATTGTATTAAATTCATACTGACGGTCAGTATAAAATTAAAGGGTCATCACATGACACCTCTAAACTAATGACTTTTGGACATCCTTGTTTGAGGTGTAATAAAGTTTGTTCTTGCATACTAGACTGAGATATCCACATTAAAATTATATCCGACCATGGGTCTGGATCGCTTACACGCGCAGAGTGGTGGGGGAATTATAGTGATCTTTCAGGGTCACGCTTTTTGTTCGTGACATCATTTTATGACGTTTTGGGGTCAGTCAGGGTCATTAACGTCATATGCAAATGAGAAATGTGCGGACAGTTTATAACTTTACTAGAAGAACAGCTGTTTTTACGGGTTTTAGGTAATAAGCGAAATATTGAATCCATCCCTGATGTGAGGTATGGATAAGGTAATTAAAACCTAAGGGATACAATATTGAGCAGCAGACCTTCCGCAAAGCCTTGGGTTTGAATAACCTCATCCATACCTCACATCAGGGATGGATTCTGTTGTTCTCCACATTGAAATGTACCACTACTGTGCTGGTGTTTTAAGCGAGATGAATTTATTCTAACGTCTTCTTGTCTACATGAAACTTGTATGACAGCAAATTTACTACTTTTGATCTGATGGCTTGTTTAAATCTTCTTATGATCGCATATTGTTGAAATTAATATCAATCACTCCTGATTAAAACTTGTCATTATTCCTTTGACCAGAATCTGTGGATGACCGAATTGCAGACGTCATGAACGCAGAGGCAGAGGGAGAGGAAGAAGATATCAGCTGGGGAGCCCAGTTTGTCAGGTATGCACGCAGCACAAAAATAACAGTCATTGATCATTGTACATTTGTTAACAATTTGTAGAGTACAGAAAGGGACCATTTATATTTGAAGGTAGAGTACAGGCATTTCTTACATAATACAGTTTAATACTTATTTGTCCAGCAGACCTACTTCTTACATTTGAAGAACTACATAGTGAATTCAGATGATCTGATTCATGTGATAGAAAGTAAGGAAAATTAAGGAAAGCGTTGTTTTAGCCTAATTCTTTTGACAATGTATTTCAGTGCCCTAACCATTGAAGGATCCACTGATGAGGACGGAAATGAGGTGAATCCAAGCTGTGTTGATTACTTGTTACACTTCCTCACCATTCTGTGGAAGGTGATCGGGGCCTGTGTCCCTCCCACGTAGGTATACTTGTCATAGAACCTCACCATTCTGTGGAAGGTGATCGGGGCTTGTGTCCCTCCATCGTAAGTATACCTGTCATAGAACCTCACCATTCTGTGGAAGGTGATCGGGGTATGTGTCCCTCCCACGTAAGTATACCTGTCAGAGAACCTCACCATTCTGTGGAAGGTGATCGGGGTATGTGTCCCTCCCACGTAAGTATACCTGTCAGAGAACCTCACCATTCTGTGGAAGGTGATCGGGGTATGTGTCCCTCCCACGTAAGTATACCTGTCAGAGAACCTCACCATTCTGTGGAAGGTGATCGGTGCCTGTGTCCCTCCCACGTAAGTATACCTTTCATAGAACCTCACCATTCTGTGGAAGGTGATCGGGTCCTGTGTCCCTCCCACGTAAGTATACCTGTCCTAGACCCTCACCATTCTGTGGAAGGTGATCGGGGCCTGTGTCCCCCCCACGTAAGTATACCTGTCATAGAACCTCACCATTCTGTGGAAGGCGATCGGGGCCTGTGTCCCTCCCACGTAAGTATACCTGTCCTAGACCCTCACCATTCTGTGGAAGGTGATCGGGGCCTGGGTCCCTCCCACGTAAGTATACCTGTCATAGAACTTCACCATTCTGTGGAAGGTGATCGGGGTCTGTGTCCCTCCCACGTAAGTATACCTGTCATAGAACTTCACCATTCTGTGGAAGGTGATCGGGGTCTGTGTCCCTCCCACGTAAGTATACCTGTAATAGAACCTCACCATTCTGTGGAAGGTGATCGGGGCTTGTGTCCCTCCATCGTAAGTATACCCTTCATAGAACCTCACCATTCTGTGGAAGGGGATCGGGGCCTGTGTCCCTCCCACGTAAGTATCCTTGTCATCGAGCCTCACCATTCTGTGGAAGGTGATCGGGGCCTGGGTCCCTCCCACGTAAGTATACCTGTCATAGAACTTCACCATTCTGTGGAAGGTGATCGGGGTCTGTGTCCCTCCCACGTAAGTATACCTGTAATAGAACCTCACCATTCTGTGGAAGGTGATCGGGGTATGTGTCCCTCCCACGTAAGTATACCTGTCAGAGAACCTCACCATTCTGTGGAAGGTGATCGGGGTATGTGTCCCTCCCACGTAAGTATACCTGTCAGAGAACCTCACCATTCTGTGGAAGGTGATCGGTGCCTGTGTCCCTCCCACGTAAGTATACCTTTCATAGAACCTCACCATTCTGTGGAAGGTGATCGGTGCCTGTGTCCCTCCCACGTAAGTATAGTATACTTGTCATAGAACCTCACCATTCTGTGGAAGGCGATCGGGGCCTGTGTCCCTCCCACGTAAGTATACATGTCATAGAACCTCACCATTCTGTGGAAGGTCATCGGGGCCTGTGTCCCTCCCACGTAAGTATCCCTGTCATAGAACCTCACCATTCTGTGGAAGGTCATCGGGGCCTGTGTCCCTCCCACGTAAGTATACCCGTCATAGAACCTCACCATTCTGTGGAAGGTGGTCGGGGCCTGTGTCCCTCCCACGTAAGTATACCCGTCATAGAACCTCACCATTCTGTGGAAGGTGGTCGGGGCCTGTGTCCCTCCCACGTAAGTATACATGTCATAGAACCTCACCATTCTGTGGAAGGTCATCGGGGCCTGTGTCCCTCCCACGTAAGTATCCTTGTCATCGAGCCTCACCATTCTGTGGAAGGTGATCGGGGCCTGTGCCCCTCCCACGTAAGTATACTTGTCATAGAACCTCACCATTCTGTGGAAGACGATATGTGCTTGTGTGTATCTGGTATAAGTATTTTTCTCATAGAAACCAGCTGTTCTTTGAAAAGTGATCAGAGTCTTTGTTTTCATACGGAAGTATTCTTCTCATGGAACCTAGGCCTGAGATCAGTGCCATGGTTCCTGCCATGCAAATGAACTTATTATAAAATCCAGCCATTTGTTGGAAGGTGATTAAAACTGGTATATCTTCCTGTAATGTTTCATTCCTTTACATTTGAATACCACTGTTAGCTAATCATTGTAATGTTAATGCATCTTCATTCAACTGATTAATGGTGAACAAGTCTGATATTTTTTCTTTCGCAATCACAGAGCGAATGCAGTATGTGTTTCAGTGTTAACTAGTCCTTGCTTTCTTCAGTAAACATTTGATGTTTAGTCTTACTATTAGTAATGGATTCTTGTGAGGCCTAGGGCAAGAGGGTAGATGTTGAGGGTATCGTGCTTGTTACAGGAAATATCTTGGAGCCTGGCCTACCTTTGTCCTGTCCCTGTTATACATCGGAGCTCTTACGTTTCTAGTGGAGCAGGTAAGATATAATTTGGAAATTTAGCAATCACTAATAGTTACAGCTGTTAATACAAAGTCTTCAAATTAAAAAAGCTGTTTTCCTAGTAGAGTTATATCCAAGTTACAATTACACAAAAAAAAACAATGCCCAATCAATGCCTATAACGTCAAAATGTCCTCGTAACCATGGAAAATGTTCTGACATCACAGGCCCCTAGCAACCAAGGATAGGGTATAGGCAAAATACTTGTGTCTTAACAATGATTGGAAAACCGATGCAAATAGTTGTCATTATCTGTATTTAACAGCTTGGCCATCTGATTGGCTGTGTGGTTGGTTTGAAGACAAGTGTAACTGGCATCACCATCATCGCCCTGGGAACGAGCTTACCAGACACGTTTGCCAGCCGAACTGCAGCAAGACAAGACGAGCATGCAGACGCAGCCATAGGCAATGTGACAGGTAAGACATGGATAGTTTATGGAAAATGTGACAAGTAAGACATGGATAGTTTAAGGAAAATGTGACAACTGTATTCAGCATATTTATATGAAGCTTGGCCTCAGTACTGTCCCCATGCTGAGGAGTTTTACTCCATAAATGCCGTTGCACTCTCAGGGGTATTCTACCAGTTGTTGATCATTCATATACTTATAGGTACTGCAACCAATTAGATTAGTCCTCCATGATTGTCTGTTTGTCCAGGCTTGGCAGTGCAAGCCATGCTTACCCATATACCAATACAAGCTCAGCATTCCCTCCCAGTCATCTGTTTCGCCAGGGTTGCCAATCAGCTGGTCAGTATTATGTTGGTGACATACCCATACCACTTGAACACGCCCGCCTGCATGCGGTTCCATGTTTCAATTTTTGAGATTTTTGGTCCACTTTTGTCCCTTGGTTAAGGGAGTGTCCTCGCACAGGAGTCACTTTTAACTTGTTGGACAAGCTTATTCTCTCCGGAGTTTGGGTTTGGCCATCAGTGAAAGTGAAAGAGTAAAATTTTATCTGAAAAGCACCCTTTGGACAGGCATAGTTTGTGCTATTGAAAAGAAGATGTGCATAATTGATCTCCAATGCCATCACATTACCGACAGAGACCTCGGACAACTTACGTAGTTCTTTAGAATAAATGGATGTAATCACTGGAGGACTCGTTCAGACAGGTTTTTCATGGAACTTGTCAGATTGCATTGCGTAATCAAATAAGTCGTCCTTGTATGTTTTCAAACAATCCTGATAGAAAACATTTACTGTGATATGTGTGTTGAAAGGTAATTCTATGTAGCTGTGCAAGTGATTAGAGACATTCTGATGTGGTTTTCGTTCTGCAAATAGCCGGCGTGGTCTCGCTTCATTTCTGACTTTAACAGGAAGTACTGGTTCACTTTCGCCTTGATAAAGGATTGGGTTTGGACAGGCCTCAGGTCAGCCATTTCACTCCACAGTAGAATTTGGTTCTGATGGCTAAATACATTCGCTTCAGTTGCGATGACAAGGTTTACGAGTTCCAAGAAAATTCCATGTGGCGTTGAAATATCTTTGGTTGCATTGGGCGGTGAGTTTTCTGTGACCTCGAAGTAATGGTGATAGCATCTACCTGGATGATTCACACATGCGTCACATAGAGTAGGATCGTTGATGTAAATTACCCAATTGTCTTTCAACTCTTGCTTGAGATGGGTTTTATTCCTTCCCGAGCGAAGTCAAGCCATGGACCTTTTTTCCTGAGACTCCTATCAATATGATTCTGGCTATTGTCCTTCAATCACTGGAGAAATTTGTGAAGACAAGAAACTTTCATTTTTTCTTCATTGATCGTTCTCAAGCCCTGTTACATTGGTTCCTCAGTTTCCTTGCGTTGGTTTTCTCCCTGACAGATATGATACCTAGGGGAGATTTCACACTAGACCGCTCCAGATTTTTCTTCTTATCAACAAGGTTCTTTTGCTGTGGCTTTGCGACGTCATGCTTTCCTTGGCAACGTCGGCAAAGGAAATTGCATGTTGGTGAGCGAGTCTGGCCAGAACGATGCACTTTGGTAAAGAGATTATCCACCTTGTAATCACTGGAGGACTTGTTCAGACAGGTTTTTCATGGAACATGTCAGATTGCATTGCGTAATCAAATAAGTCGTCCTTGTATGTTTTCAAACAATCCTGATAGAAAACATTTACTGTGATATGTGTGTTGAAAGGTAATTCTATGTAGCTGTGCAAGTGATTAGAGACATTCTGATGTGGTTTTCGTTCTGCAATAGCCGGCGTGGGTTCGCTTCATTTCAGGCCTTAGGTCAGCCATTTCACTCCACAGTAGAATGTGGTTCTGATGGCTGAATCCTTGAAATGACCACCATATGAGCCTATTAGGGGTCTTCCACATTAAAGTTCATTTCATTTAAGATGATTGAGAAGGTTTTCTGTATGGCTTTGACACCGGGGTAAAGAAGGAGTGAATCTGTAAATCGTCTAGCTGCATGTTTTCCTTTGTCCTTGTATACAGATGAGCATTATGTATGTACATATGCATTACAGGTAGTAACAGTGTGAATGTTTTCCTGGGGTTGGGCTTGCCCTGGGTCCTCAGCACCTCCTACGGACTGGCCACAGGTACGGAAGTGAAGGTACCGGCGGGGAACCTCACACAGAGTGTCATCATTTTCACCATACTTGGCTTCCTGTGTATCATTGTCCTGATACTGAGGAGAAAGGTTAGTATACAATGTGTGATCGATTTCTGCCTGTGTTCAATGGATTTGTCCTGATATATGATATTCAAAAAATACTCATTTTTTACTGACATAGTTCCTCTAGTTTACAATGCTCAATCAAAACACTGCCATGTGTACATATGATACTGTTATTCAATGGAAATGATTACATATATCATGCAAGATGAAATCTTGCATGATATATGTAATCATTTACATAACAAATTAAATAAGAATTATATATATTGCAACAGAATGTATAAAAATGATACTGTCATCCCAAAATGTCGGTGATGAAACTCATTATGTCTTATGTTGCAGTTTGTAGGTGGAGAGCTGGGAGGAGCCAACCCCTACGTGAAATGGGGAACTAGTATTCTGTTGTTAGTGTTCTGGTGTATCTACATCCTTCTGTCCAGTCTCAAAGCCTACGACGTTATATCGCTATAGACCCACTCAGCACATCATACCTCTACAGCTGTTATTGAGACTGTTGAAAGAAGGCACAGAGGCTACCTCTCCCCGACGGGGGACATACCTAATACCAGGCTACTACCGGGGGTTTACACCTGGATATTACCTTGGAAACAAGGGGTACTTTTGGTAGCTATTGAGGATCTCTGTGAAAGTGACACTGTGAGAAAAAATCAATGTGATGATAACTCTTGTTAAACTTAACACGTTCCATATCCTATTCCGATTCCGTTTTGGTTGAGGCTCTCACTAGTGAGATGGGAACTGTGAAGTCAGTCAGTGGTAGAAGGGGAATAACTCCCACTCACAGGACATCACAAGCTTTCCTTAGGAAATATACTCTTGAACCTGCACGTTGATTTAAATAGATTATTTTGTGGATTTGCTGCTGGTATGCAGTTAACGATGAGATATTTCCTGCTGTGATTTCAACTGAGACGCAACTTCGGCAATGTATGGAGAGTACGTACGTTAACCCTGTTACATTGAAAAGACGTCCGGGTGTGCGAGTCTGTGCCAAACACCTGTCCTTTATAAGTGCTGGTCGACAAGTTAAGAGAAGTTAATTATATTTTTAACAATAATGTCCAATATCTATCTGCATTTAGTGATTAACAGACAAATACACAAGTAAGTGTATATACTCCGACGGTATTGGACTCGTTAAAAAAGGGAGATGGAGAATAATGGCTGTTACTTGATTATCGTTACATTTTGAAGTTTATGCAAATGTTCTGCTCCATGTCATCTTTATGAAGTTATAAGCACATTGTTACAAGGGTTTCTTGTAGCTGTGTTAACAAGGTAGATTCTAGTTTGTAGATATAACTTATTATGAAGCTGAACAGCATCGTCTGTAGAGGAAACATAACTAGATGTTGATTAATGCAAGTGCTATTGTGCGTGTTCTTTTGAATCTTATTTCTGTAAAATTCCATTTTTAAAGTATTTCAACATGTATATAAATGTAAATATGTCCCGAAATAATTATTATTGAAACCTGAGCTGTTGAAAATGGTCAGATATTTGTTAACACTCTAGAGGATGATTCAAGCACATACCATTTGGTTCTATAAAACTTTCAAGGTCATTTTTGATTTGTGATGTCAACCAAAATTAAATCTATAAATAAATTCATATGAACAACTTGATAGTATGTCTATAGATACAAAACTACAAAATGATACACATTATGTCCTGAATATCAAGTTTCAGACCTGAAAAGTATGGCACCGATTCATTCTTTGTGCTGGTATGCCTGTCAAATATATATATACTTACACATGTAAATATATATATAAATCTGGTATGTACCGATACGATACCTGTGTATATTAATATATTAAAATTAAATTTGATACCTGTCAAAATCAGGTATTGTATATACAGGTATTGTTTTATATGTATCTATATGATATCCAATGAGTGATGGTAGGTTATGATATATAAACAACACAGTATATTCTAATCTTCAAGCTGCGGAGAGTAGTAGATTATCTTGAAGAATAAACTGACAAAATTTCATATAAATCATAATCAATTATCATGAGTTAGACCTGTCAGAATTATCCCATAAACAATATATTTCAAAAAATAAACATCATTATGAAACCGTTTGAAACACATGATTTGGAATTCAGTTCAATTTCGTGCAAGGCATGACGTCATGATTGAAGTTTGCCGTCAAAAAGTATATGTCATATGTCATGCCGCATTATGTTATTTCTCAAATTATAAAAAAAAAATGATTGTCTATAGTGATGAAACCTGTAGCAGTTATGGGATAAGCATTAATATGATATCTATGTATAAATATATATATATATAAATACGATACCTGTGTATATATGTACGACACACATCAAAATCCAACTGTGATATCCTGTTTATTTTTGTATACCGTGTTTTCTACTGGTTTTGTGTTTGAGGTGTGATGTAAATATATCAAAGCAACTATGCTATTTTATTTTATTTTCAAGTGATTGCTAATATTTATTGAGAACAAGAGTTTATTAATTAAAAACGGTTATTGATTATGTATATGAAAAATAAGATTTGTTTTTATTTGCAGATATATTATGTTACTGACTATTTGAAATCTGCAAAGCAGTATTGATGTAGATGTTATTTATTAGAAGATTTTTTTTGTATTGGTTTTTGCATCCACACATTTTGTTACGAGAGTTACTGTCCTTGATTGAGAATGAATTACATTTGAAATGGCATAATTTTGACATTTATAGAGATTATTTGTCAATCAAAAATTAGAGACAGGACATTGGTGAAATGCCCCTCTCGTTTAATGGTAGTTATGCTTTCTTTTCTTTGTGCTAGTCAACAATGTGAGTAGAGATATAGAGTCATTTAGACTTAAGTGAATCAATACTCACAAACTTATTGGTAGATAAAACGCTGATCAATAAGTCCGATCCTACATCAGCGGTCGTAGATAAAACGCTGATCAATAAGTCCGATCCTACATCAGCGGTCGTAGATAAAACAAAGTATCAAACAGAACTCATTAGACCTATTTTCAAAAATTAGAAATTATTCTTTAATATAGTGCACTGTTTAATGTGCTATTTTGTGATAACTCGTGATTATTGACGTTAATCAGAAGGTACCTTTGTATTAGAGTAGATTTTCCCTGTATAACACCCAAGTTATTAACACAATGTGGACGTCCACAGCGATCCTCTTATCTCATATCTCGTATCAAGGAATGGTTAAGTTTATGACTTTTTTGTTTTGTTTGTGAACAACAAGCCGGTCAACAACAGACTTGATCTCTGTGGTAGAAGGACCAACAAAGTTGTTGCGGTGTCCGGGTGGTTTTAGTTTTATTTATACGTGATTATTCTATCATAGAACTACATGTAGTGTGTGGTTCCTCCACCAGTGTCTAATGTGCTAGCAGCATAACGACCAAGGCTTGTTCTGTGAGGGAGGCCTTGATACAAATTCTGCAGCCTGATAGCCATAAGCCAAAGAACACTTCCTTGTAAAACTGATGCAAATCTTTTGAATCATTTTTTTCAATTTTGCAAATTGTCATTTCTCGTCAACGTTTGTCACTATTAACACATCCTATTTTTTGCCAAAGATTATTTGTTGGTTGGTACCTATTTTTTAAACAGTTTTGGGAATAATTAAGTTTACCAGAAATGTTTGTTAGTTGTAGTGTATGATGAGATCACACTGCTACCCCTGCTCATGGAGTGAACCTGTGGTTGTCAATCTCAGTTTATTTAAGAAACCAGTGTGAAAGTTATTTTCTACATAATATATTGTATAAATACCATTTTTCCCCCCCGAAGCTGAATATTCGTTAGATATTTGGTTTCGGCAATATTTCTTTTTGAACACCAACACATAACAACATATGAAATCTGTCTATGATCGAGAGTTATGGGCCCTGCTCCGCGTGGGGGACCCACTGCTTACTGAGACGGACACCAAAAATATTGTCATAAATAATAACCATCTTCCACTCTATCTCACTACCGAACAAAGGGCTGGACATTCTCATGTAGTTACAAACTATTTACAAAGTTAACAGATTTTTCAGCAGGCAATTTTTTTTCTTTGCTCTCTTTTTTTCTTCTTTCAATTAAATTTTATAAAAATGGATGAAGTGATGTGATGAGATGCTGGACATATCCTTTAGGTTTTGTTTGGATTTGGTAAAAGGAAAAGGACACGATCATGTGAGTGGAATATTACGGTAATCTCTGTTGCCATATGAAGTATTATTTATAACTGAAACCTTTCAAAATGCCCGTTGTTGTAAGAATTACGCTCACTTTCATAACTTGTGTGCTTGGATAAAGGTGAAAAAAGGGGTGTGGGTGTGGTTGCTGTTTCTATACTCATATCTGAGACAAAGTTTATGATGTGTCTTAATATTATAACCAGTGGTGGTTACAATATTAGGCCGGTGGTATAAACTTGCAGTGACCTCGAGTGAAAACAATATTGGGGTCAACAGACCACCTCACCATGTATTTACCTAATCGTGTCAATTAACGACCGTCACATTGGGACAATGTTCCATCTTTCTTACCTGACTGTGACGAGGTAAGTCCTACCACCCCCTCCCTCGTCTCACCTGTTCAACACACACCTGTTAGAGTCTCATTAGAAACAGTATTTATAGACATCACACAGTCGCTGAGGCAAGGTGTTCCTTACAACATTAAAGACAACTGACTACAAGCCATGTTTTTTTTACATGTATTTGTTCTGTGTTTGTATGAAAATAAAAGTTTGAAACCACTTTTTCGCTTTTGTTGTGTCTATGAGACCAGGAAGCACACGAGTTTGACACTATGTGGAGATACTGAGAGATAGGCCGATGCATATGTGCATGGATACTAGCATATTGGAAAATGTTGTTACATAAACATAGAGAAGTCGGACAATTTGAGCGTTCTTGATCCAACAAAGATGAAAAAATATCCATTACACTGACCTATTTCAATCCATTTCAAAATCATAAGTTAATACTTGTGATTTGCAGAATGCGAGATATTCTTTTAAATAATTCTGAATTACTACAAAATATAGTATATACTGTAAGAAAACGGGCAGACCTGGATTGAACGTTGGATATAGGGTCATTGTATTGATGTTTAATATGAAAGAAATTACGTTCAAATAACTGAAAAATATGGAATTGTAGCTGGAAGCGACTTTGACTGGTTTAAGATGGGGAGTGAAGGCAAAATTACAACAAAATGCATTTTACCTTGTATATCAAAATTGTCCTTGAAGTTATATCCAGCTGTTAGTAATGAAGCATGTTCATGTAATTTGATCCAGACATAAATTTAGCAGATCCCCTTGGGGTTATTAGATATGATTAGTTTAACCACATTGTTATGAGCCATTTGAAGGTTATCGAACTATAAATCGGACTACCGTATGTCCATCACCAACTTGTCTATATGTACATTGAACTGGCTTGTCATCTGAGTGAATAAACAGATTTAAATTGTTCAAATGGCAGGACTAACTTAGGGTGGGGGGGTGGGGGGGGCAAAAAGCAGTTAAAAGATGATAATTAAATGAAAAACGTTTTCTTATAGCTTATTTATAAGGTTGTGATGTATCTATTTTATTCTACGACAACCCATACCCCAATTAATATGCATAGTGATGATGCTATAATTAGCAATACATAAATGATTATTAAATTAATCAAAGGGCAATAAATCTTACACATTTGAAGAGGGACACATTTTCAGTGCTTTAATACAATTCAGGTATACCTTGAAAAGAACAATTAAAGAGCTACACAAAAGCAAAAAGCAAAATATAAGAGTTAATGAATTGACTAAAAAATGGATAAATGAAACTATTCACAATATATAGGAAAAATGTTTCAAATGGCACATATCCTTTACTTTGTTGTGAAGTGAATAGCTTATACGTTTTTACAGGTTTTTTTCTCTTTTTTAACAAATTTTAACTGCTGTGGGGCTTATAATAATTATACATTTATGTTATAGTTGTTATACAATTAATGAAATGACCATTTGGTACGGTACAGTGTTAACTTGATTTGACTTTCTACATCGCGAAACCTTTTTATTTATTTTCTTTTAGAATTTTAGCGTTATTTTAATTTCATCTTTATAGAAATGGGTTTTATTCAGACATGTAGCGTTGAGAAGCTTCAGGTTATGTTTTAGTTTTGTCATATAAAAGAATACGATGATATGTTTAGAATAGTACCATATACGGTTATTTTAGGTTCCATATAAGGTTCTCTTCATGTCTTTCCGTATGCCCATTGTTTTAGGATTTATAATGAACTGTATCAGGTTTGATTAAAGAAACAAACATTTATAAAAAAAAAATCAAATTTTTCCAGTACATGTACAATACACAGGACATTCATCACACATACACACATTCACACATGTTGAAATAGTGAAATATCATCATCATCATCATCAATCATCATCATCACTATAGTCATCCATTTATCATCATTCCATCATCATCATCATGCAGAAACATCAACATAATCTAGACTTATATTTATTAACCAATATCCAAGCAAACGTTATGAATGACACTTTTGTTTGTTCGGTGTCTAACATTCGCTGGCGAAAAAAAATCTCTTTCCTAACGTTTGCTTTGGTATTGGTTAAATGGATAGGAGTCTAGATTATCAAACCTGAGACAGTTAATTACGCGTCTTCGCCAAATAAGAACTTCTGGTTATTACAATTTTACGACGTTAGTACATGTATTATTTGCAACGACATTGTATTGACCTCAAGTGAATATCGTTATTCGTAAATATTTGCCTTACCAGATATTTATTTACCTATCCGTATCGATTAATGATCGTCACATTGGGTCAATATTCCATCTTACTTACATGTACCTGACTGTGACGAGGTAAGACCTACCACCAACCCCGGCCCCTCACCGCACCTGTTCAACCCACATCTGTTACAGGCTCATTAGAAACAGATGTGTCTGTAACAGTCTCATTAGAAACAGACATCACTCAGTCGCTGATGACAGGTGTTCCAACAGTCCGTCCGTCAGGTGTTCCTTACCACATAAAAGACCGAACATCTGACTTCAAACCAATTTTTGTTTACATGTATTTTGTTCTGTGTCTGTATGAAAATAAAAGTTTGAAACCACTACTTAGCTTTTGTTATTTATACGAGACAAGAAAACACACGAATTCGACACTACAAACCGACGAAAAAGTCGGCCAATTTTAGATTTCTTGATCCGATCCACTACAATGATCTCTTTCATTCAGTTTCAAAATTTGAAGTCATTACTTATCTTGCAATTATCAATAATCTTGCAGGCCCAGAGACGGGAAGGTTTTTGAAAATGCGAGATATTATTTTTCAATAATTACATATTTTTAGTATCAGGGTTTTAGGAAAACAAGCAGATCTAGATTGGACATTGGACTTGGGACAAGATCATTATTCTTACACTCTTAGATGGCTATTTTGAAAGAAACTACTAAAAGCATGGACAACAAACGTTTGGAGTAATTATGACTGAAACAGTTGGATAGGCAAAACTACATCAAACATTCGTTTCCCTTCGTAGAACAAATTTGTCCTTGAAGTATTCAGCTGTTAAAACGGCAAACTGTGAATTGTAATTATAGTAGAGCATTTTCATTTAATTAAGTCTACACATAAAATAAGATTTTACGCCTTCTTAGCATTGAGGTTATTGTCTATTATTAATTTGATCAAGATCAAATTGTCTTGCGCCGTTTAAAGGATACATGTACTTCCTTTTCGTTTTCTCATCGGAATAGGTGCATGCCTGCTCATCGGGGGAGGGGGGGGGGGGGGGGGGGGGTAGAAAAAGCAACTTTGTTGAGACCGAAAAAAATAGAAAAAAAGGATAAGTTCATGAGAAAAGTATATGACTGTAAGCTAAGATTTAAGCAATTACAGTATTTCAAGGGAGACAAGTCTTACACAATTTCAAAAAGAAAAGAATGCAATATAAATACCCCATAAAGTGAACAGTTACTGAGCTGCACTGAAACAATAAGTTAAATTTGAATATAAATGAAACAATGTGAAAATGGGATTGCAAAAATATAATAAACAAAAGAATCAAGCGTTAGGTAGCGTATATAATATATACATAATATAATATTATTAACTTGTAAGAAGATTGCTTTTGAATTTCAGCATTTGTTTTTGTCGACAATTTATGACTGCTATGGGGCTACAATGTAATACAATGTTAACTCTAATTGTTGTAACGCAAACATAGTGTTTGTTGTAAAATCGTAGGGACACCAGTCTATACCAAAAATCTAATTTAGTAAGTTTTTGATAGTAATGGCAGCTCCTGATATATATATTTGGCTCCAGTAAATTAACACTATACTACATAGTTATGGAAAATTCAGACAATTGGTGATTTCTTGCACCAACTTTTTTTATAAAACTATTTGTATAATGTAGTACATCCTTCTTCATTTCCGTCGTTTTCAAAATCAGACGTAAATACCTGTTACCATCTTGTAAGACCAACCCCAGAAATCAGTCCCCTAAAAAAATAAAAAAAAAAAAAATGCATGTAGGGAAACCATTTCTTACAGACAGGGACACCCTATATATATATAAATAAATAAATTAAAAAAAAAAACAGAAATCATTTCTATTTTTAACTTAGTTTTACATCCGAACAAAAGGCTATGTATTTTCATATAGTTGAAAGCTTTTAACAAGGTAAGCATATTTTCCTAAAAAAAAATATGTAATTTTTCTCCGAGATGTTGTTTAAAAACCTGTTCAACACACACCTATTACATTCTCATTGGAAATAGTAAGTATAGACACCACACAGTCGCTGATGGCAGGTGTTCCTTACCAAATTAGATAGAGTCATGACCACTAACTACAGCTGAACTGATCAATATGTCTGTAGCATTTTGGAGGTTTTGGCCCCAAAATATCGGTTAATGTTGGACAACTGACTACAAAACCATGATTTAAACATGTATTTGTTCTATGTTTGTATGAAAATATCAGTTTGAAACCACTGTCTAGATTCTGTGGTGAATATGAGACCATAAAACACCAGAATTAAACACTAGGTTGGGAAACACAAGGCATGGAAGTCACGAATTCTAAAACGCAGATGAATATTTGTAAGTATAATGTATAAGTTATTTTAATTCAAATTCAAATTCAAAATTCTAAATTTATTTGCACATTTGTAACTACAAAGTTGTTTGAAGGCAAACAGTAAAACACAGTGAAATACATACATAGACATGTACATGTAGAAAAGTCGCAAAGTGTAGCTTAGATTTCTAATATACACGAACAAAATTTAGTCATAGATCTTTAATACTTTAGTTTCAACATTTGACCTTCGAACCATTAACTACAGCTGATTTGACCCATATCTTATTCACAACCATTTGGAGATTTTTGCACTTAATATTGGTTAACGTTTGTCGACAACTTTCTTCACATTTCCGAATTTTCTTTGTCTGATCGAATTTGAAAATGTGGAAAAAATACAATCGATACAATTGTAATTCAAAACTATTTTCCTGTTAGGGTCTAATGGTATTACATGTATATCGCGCATGAATCGCCATATCTCCATTTGGTTCAGAGGGAGACAATAGAAGCGAGTATCAACAAGGGACATAAGTCGTTTGTGCTTGGTTAACATGAGCGCTTAAGAACTGAAATAAAATAAACATTGGCAGGTTTTATCTTTTATTACTTGCTAAAATATTTTGCGCCT